TGCAACGCCACTTGGCAGAAAGGTGGTCCAGAATGTTTGCCGGAGCATGGGCTACTTTAAATTTGGCGGCACAGCCTTTATTGTTATTTTGCAGACGATTTTCGTGTCGACTGTGAGCTGTGCCGCCATTGGGGGCTAAGCAGAAGGACGGGGGCAAAGCAGAATTGCGCCGGGGCGTAGAGGAACGACGGGGGCGAAGCAGATTTTTGCGGGGGCGAAGCAGAACGGGGCGGGGGCGAAGCAGAACGGCGGGGGCGAAGAGGAAGGAGTTTCATGGGGGTGAATCTTGTGTAGTCTCAGCTGCAGAAAGTGTTGCACAAGTTCAAATTACCATTAAATTTTTTTACTGCTGTATGCTACAGTTTATTATCAATACTATGTGTGCTCAATGCATGTTTTCCCCTTCAAGTATCAATTTTGAAAATATCAGACTTAAGACTTGTCAGACTCTAATTAGAGTCAACCTGTGACAGTTGGTCAATTTCAAATTATTAGACAATATTCCTGACCGTGTAACCTCCTTTATAATCCATTAAACCACCCTGCCTTATCAGAATTAAAGATTTTTTTATTTCTTCTTTCTTATGTAACAGGTGAGCTACTACTTCCCGTTGAAGACCATGTGGCGATCGTTCTTCTGTGCCCTGGTGGCCGCCTTCATCCTGCGCTCCATCAACCCGTTCGGTAACAGCCACCTGGTCAAGTTCTACGTGGAGTACAACACTCCCTGGTTCTTCTTCGAACTCCTGCCATTCATATTACTGGGAGTCTTTGGGGTAAGTAAAGGACAAAAATCATGACAGTTCTTGAATTTATGAATGACACTTTTTGTGTGGTTTTTGAGGAACAGATTTGGCATGTACCTTTTGTATTGTGATCTGTATTCATTTGTATATACCGGTACTGTGTTTTTGTAGGGTCTGTATGGAGCATTCTTCAACAAGTTCAACCTGAAGTGGTGCAGGTTCAGGAAGAAGACCAGAATGGGACTGTTTCCTATTGCTGAGGTTTGTGTCAAGCATTTAACCGCTCATTTAACACATCGCCTACTGGCCTTTGCAAATTCTCTACTATATGTATGTAAAAGATGAGGTCTAGGCACAATATGGTTCTTTTCGTGTTCACTAATGTATACACTAAAATTGTATCTGAGCAAAAAATTGTATCATTCAGTTTAAATGATAGTATTTTTTTTCATTTTCAGGTGATGATTGTCACATTTGTCACAGCCTTGCTGGCTTTCCCCAACCCTTACACAAGGTGAGTTTTGTCTGGTAACTCTTAATTTATTTCTAAAAAAAGTGGCCTTCTGCAACTGCTTGCTATAACTCCCAAAAATGTCTGGATTTTTTAAGAGACTGATCATGATAGAATTTCTAACCTTTATCCCACTTTTTTTCCTTTCAGAGAAAACACCAGCATTCTGATTCAGAGATTATTCAAGGACTGTGGACCTGTGGATGACTCTGACCTGTGGTAAGATCACAGAAACATCATTCTTGAAATACATCACTTGTAGTATGGGCATCATATCTTAAAGAGAACAGGGTATTCGGACTTAGCTGCCCTGCCCGGTCCACCTAAACCGCTGCCCGGTCCGGTCCGAGGCCGCTAATGGGGGTTTTGCGTATCCCATGCGCCGGAGCAAGCATTTCACTCCCGGCGCAAGGACTCGGTTTGCTAGCTGAGGACTTTCCACAACCATGATGATATCATACTTAAATAAAGGAATATATAATAGATCTATCATGTTGAAATGATAATTGTAATACATGGTTCTATTTAATAGCGGTAGTTTTGTTTCTTATTTTGAGGAGGGAAACACGGGGGAAACTGTCAAAAATCGAGGGAACGCAAACTGAGATCGGCTCACTTCCGGGTGCATAACGCCAAAATTTCTCGACGATTGTATAAAAATGACCACTCATTTGCCGCCTACGGTAGCGTGTACATGGTAGTGCGATCATATCGTGCCAAAGTCAGCGTCAAACGTCAGAAAATCCCCGTAAAAATATAGTTGCAAAACACATTTCCCGCGCACTCATGGCCGGCCGCCGGCATGTGAAGCAGCATGCTCATTATAATATGCAAGTAGCTACGCTCTGATTGGTTCACCTTAGATGACCTGCGCTCTGATTGGCTAGAACGAAGCCCGTTGCATGCTGGGGCGCCCTTCCCCGCGCGAAGTGCGATCTGGAGATAGCCACATTTACGCTGGTTTCTACCTTATTTCTACGACTAATTAGCAAAATCCTAGTGACGAAATGCGTACTCAAAAGAATTTTCGGGAAAAATACATATGCACATGTGGATTTGTGGTGCCTTTGGCGTAATTTTGTTGGTCACGTACAACGTAATGTAACACGGAAGTGCACGGAGTCGGAGTCGCGGCACGGCTTTCTGTCCCACTCTAAACAAAACCCCAAGGACATAACAAAACTCCCCAAAACTGGTCAATAATTAGCCATAAAAATGTTTGTGGGCACGTGTAAATATGCTGCCTTTTTTCGAGTGTTATAGGAATTATTCGCGATGTTTTTGCACATCCCTAACGTTACCTCACGCCGGGCCCGCCGCCTATTATGTACGGCGGACCGGGGTATTTATAACAGTTAATTCAGATCATCTAGGATTGCATATTCGGTGGTAAAATAAGTAAACAAACAGAGAAAAACAGCAAAATAAAGTTGACAAACTATAGAAACGCTTGCATGGGCAACACTGACAAAAGAAAATGTCGATCTAATTGATGCGCCGGTTTTAAACGTTACTGTTATATAGTAAAATGCGGGCTAGATCAACGTTCCTTTCGCTGTTCCAGCGGTGTGTATCGGTAATTTCCCGCCCCGCATGAGGTAAATTAGTACTCCTCCCACGATTCCTGTGATGTTACCGCGCCTGCATATGAATGGAGAAGTCTGACGAAAAAGAAACGCGTTACTTTCGGAAAAGTAACGGAAAACTTTCGGAAAAGTAACCAGTTAATAACGGAAAACTAACGGGGAAAAAAACGCGTTAGTAACGGCCCTTAGGGTAACTATAACGCGAACGGTACTGTATTATGGCCGGGTCCTTGCGCCGGGAGCGAAATGCTTGCTCCGGCGCATGGGATACGCAAAACCCCCATTAGCGGCCTCGGACCGGACCGGGCAGCGGTTTAGGTGGACCGGGCAGGGCAGCTAAGTCCGAATACCCAAAGAGAACAGTGTCCCATAAATTGTTTATCTTGCCAAGTGTTCTACAAAGTACAAGTAGGATCTGGTCTAAGCATGTGCAGTCCCTTCAAATCTGTTTTCTGAACTGTGCTTGTTCCCTGTGCCAGTGACTACAACGCCACGTACGCGCCGAACCTGAACAACCGGAGAAACCCGTACGGCGAGGCGGGGACGGGCGTACAGAACGCCATGTGGCAGCTGTTCCTGGCACTCATACTGAAGGGCATCCTCACCATCTTTACATTCGGCATGAAGGTGAGTTACAGGCTTTTTAGATCCTACTATAACATTTTCTCTTACTGCTGTTGTTCATGACATTGAATTAACATAATAGACTGGGTAATTATAAGCCATACATACATGGGGGAAAGCTATTCCTCAAGCCAGCCAACATGCTTACATGGCCATAATCCTTCAGTAAGACATCTGGGGCTGCATTGTTATGTAGCCGCTTAGAACTTGTTTCCCATTTAGAATTGTGTTCAGCCTGTTGCAGAGACTACTGAAGACTTGGTAAGCCATCGTCCTTGCAGGAATGATAGCCATTGTTGTGACTTGTGTGTTGTGCCACTTGTAGGTACCAGCTGGTCTGTTCATCCCATCCATGGCAGTGGGGGCCATCGCGGGCAGACTGATCGGGACAGGAGTGGAACAGCTGGCCTTGTGAGACCCTCTCTTGTCTATTACATCATGACATTGCTTAACTGATTGTACACTACTGGATACAAAACATTCAACAACCAATCAGCATAATAACATAATATTGTGACCCTTAATATATAATATTGTAGCTGTTGTTGAATGAAATACAGGGATGAAATTCAATTATGAAATTGATCAACAGCAAGAGCAGGTTGTTCTTTATTTGGGTGCATTCTATACTGTCAATTCTAAAATTGGTATAAGGTCAGTTGTCATATTTGTGTGGTTAATCTAGGTCTTTCTCTTTACTAGCAACTTCCCTGATTGGATACTGTTTGACGAGGCGTGTGCGGGCGGACAGAGGTGCGTCACGCCGGGTTTGTACGCCATGGTCGGCGCTGCGGCGGCTCTGGGAGGGGTGACCAGGATGACAGGTACATCAGCATTAAGCACAGATGTTGTAACTGTAAAACTTAAAGATGTTGTAACAGTTACTGTAAAACTTCACTGCAGTGTCATATATTACAGGTAGCATTGATTGTCATTACTCTAACATATGTATACACTTCAACAGTAAAGGCATAAAGGAATCATTCTTAAGGTGCAAAACAATCTTTAACTTTCTAGTACCTTGTTTTTGTATTGTAAATTTTACCTGAAAGTGAAAGTGTATACATGTACATGTTTGAATGTATGGTATATCTGAATGTCACAGCATCATTACCATACCCATCTACATGCATTAACAATGTGCTAGCCTCCCAGATACTGACAATACTAGCTATAGACTGTTAACTCCATGCCTTGCTGTGTTGTGTTGTTCCCAGTGTCTCTGGTGGTGATCATGTTTGAGCTGACAGGAGGTCTACAGTACATCATACCCATCATGGCTGCCGTCATGACCAGTAAATGGGTGGGAGACGCGTTCGGCAAGGAGGGCATGTATCCTTGTTCTGGCACAGAGATACAGTAGAGTACTGTATGAGTATTGGCTACTAAGTTAAAGAGACTGACCTGGTGAAGGTCTCTTTCTTTCTGTGAGGATGAAGTATTAGTATATAAACTATACACAAGTTTTAGTACACAAGTATTTGCAAGTACACAAGTACATTGACTGATCGAGCATTGATTTAGGGAATTTTATTTTCTATAGACTGGAACACTTAAGAAGAAACTAGTTTAGGCTAGATTTGAGACATTTCTTGAACAAGATTTGTCACACATTCTGCATTAGATTTTTAGTTTTCAGAAAACCTTGCTACGTACAGAATTCAGTTTTGCAACTCTCATGAACCCAGCTAACCTGTTAAAGAATTATCATGTACTTGATGAGACCTTAACCTGTTGACAGCTACGATGCCCACATCCACTTGAATGGTTACCCGTTCCTGGATGCAAAAGAGGAATTCAAACACACAACAATAGCTGCTGACATCATGAGACCAAGGTAACAGATTTACTTCTGCATTCAAGCATTTGTGTTTCCGCATCTTTAACCAACCCAAATTGATAGACTAAGTATGTACCGGTATCGTACCAGTACGTTTTTGGCACCAGACCATGTAAGTGTAGCTTGCATGTACTGCTGTAGGAATTATGTATCAGGCACATATATTAATTGAAGGGGGCTGTATCTGTATAAGTGTATTTAAGCTAACAACAATGTTATATCTGCTTCTCTACAGGAGAGGTGACCCTCCACTGGTTGTCATTGAACAGGACAACATGACTGTGGAAGAGTTAGGTGAGGCAGGAAACTGAATGTTGAAATGTTTCTCCATCTGAAATCTTACTGTTAAACATTGTTAGAGTTTAGAACTTAACCACTTACCTACGTCATCCAAATTGGTCCTTTCAGTATATCTGTGTTAACTTATCCTGTAATTTTATTGGTTCACTAAAGAGAAATATTGTGTTGCCCAACAGAAACGTTGCTTCAGGAGGAAGACTACAACGGCTTTCCTGTGGTGGTTTCCAAGGAGACACAGCTTCTGGTCGGGTTTGTGCTGAGAAGAGACCTCAGCCATGCCCTTGGTAAGGAAGACAATAAGCCTTGAACATTTCTGACACAGTTCAAAAATAAAAGTCAATAAAATTGCACAATGTATAATGATTTAAAAAAGACTTAATCTGTCAATTTTTTTTATTTCATGGCATGTTTGTTGAATTATGCTTCTTACAGTTGTTAAGGGATGTTGCATTTTTCATATTTTACATTGCATAGCTGTCAACTGTTTCATATCGTATCCATAAGATTGAATGATGTTGTTTTACAGACGAGGCAAGAAAAGCACAAGACGGTGTTGTCAGCAACTCCAGGGTCTACTTTACCACTCATGTACCGGGACCGCTGGATGTGGGGCCAAAACCACTCAAACTCAAGAAAATGTTAGACCAAGTAAGATCCAATATGTGACATGTATACTTCTGTAGGATATCCTACCAACAAATCACTCTTGAAGTAATTTCTGCTTTTTTTGTTTAAATTCTATGCATATTCTGCTATGGTACGGCTGCTGTCTGCATGGTTTGTTACTTCACCCTCAAGGAAGAGATAATTGCAATTACTGTATGATCTGCCAGAGGGTGTGAAGACTGCCATATTTTGATATTCTATATACATGTACATCTATATACATATAGATCCCACTGTACACAGTCAAACGTTTATAGAACCTATGGAAGAAACTGTTCCCATAATGGCTTATAGAGAAGACCTTGTTGTAAGACACAGTTGTATGTACATGTGTGTAACTGTAAGACTGTTCTGTTCACAGAGTCCGTTCACCATCACTGACCAGACCCCCATGGAAGTGGTGATTGACATGTTCCGTAAACTGGGCCTGAGACAGTGCCTGGTCACGCACAAGGGGTGAGTAAGACGTTACTGGTGTTTTACTAGAAATTGTGGAAACTGGCCAGCAAGTTATGTCTCCAAAGTTGTGTCCAGATCTTTTTAAAAGCCTGTCTTTACATCCAAGCTTCTCTAGTCATCTTGAATATGGTAAAATTAAAGTACATTAAAGTAAAGTTTGCCTTCAGACCTCACAAAGTTTGAAGATGTCAGTAAGCACTTTCTCTGCAGTTTTGTTTGGCTGTATAAGGAATAACCTGAGCAAATGTAAGGCTAAAATGTCTTCTTTCTATATCATGTGGCTGTAGATCAACGATAACTTCGTCTTTGACTTCTATGTCCATCATAGAGATATTATGTATACTAACAGTCAATTCAACTTTCTGTCAACAGCACTGTATCTCTTTGTCATGCCATGTACACACATGCAACTGTGCTAGAGTCGCTGCTAAACTTGCTGCTATGATATTCACCTTTAGTGTACAATATGGCACCAGTTGTTGCTCCTAGTTTGTCTTGACTAGAATCCTACACAGCTGTCTAATCAAGTGTATGTCTGACTTTCTTACTAACATAAACAGGGCTGTCTCATAGTTAGTCTATTCCTAACTGGCCATGCTAAACAATTTTCAAGCTTGTATGTTTTTCCGTACATTGTAGCTGCCTGGAGCAACTTTTCCTGCTTTTACTGATGCTGCTCTCAACAGTTTCTCCTTTCTCTTCCAGTCTTCACTAACATTTCCAATCATCTCCCAATATGTGACATTGATTTTCCCCATTTTTTGGTATTCAGCTGATTTCTTGCATGCATGTGAAAGCTCTCGTTTAGAATGTATGCCATTTTTTATACCGTAGGTCAAGAGACTTGGGTTTCTGTACACATTATGAAACACATGCATGATATGATATCTATGCCATTTTTTGGTAGTTAAGAGGCTTGGGTTTCTGTACACATTATAAAATACATGCATGATATTTGAAGTATGTCATATACCTTTCCATACAACTTTGGTTTAGTGCATGAAGAGGAATTATTATGTACATGTATGATTCATAATGGCTTTGTTCCTTGTCACATATGTTCTATTTTTTTTGCGATGTTGTTTCTTCCAGACGTCTCTTAGGCATCGCCACCAGGAAGGACGTCCGGAAACACATCGCAACACTGGCCAATCAGGACCCAGATTCTGTCCAGTTCCATTAGACCAGACCCAACATGACCTCTGATTGGGTGGGGTTTTCTAACCTTTCAACACTGGCAGGAACAGCAACCAATCATGTTCTTCATTACATTTCAGCTCACATACTTACAATCACACATTGCTAAGCCATCATAAACCTACAGCACTATAGAAAATAAGCCACAGCTAGTACAACAGTGCCTTGGGTCTTGTATATGTACAGGGATTTGACACCTGCATCTTTTCTTATTGGCTTATCTATCTGTATGAAGAAGACAAAAAATATATCCTGATAACTGGTGGCAAAAATGGTCTGTTGTGCTTGCTTTGGCTTTGTAGGAATTAAACAGCACTAAACTGCATTAAGTAGGCTATCTATTGAAATTGCTCTTACCAATATGCACCAATGATCATTGCTGATACTAATGATTCTGGGCTGATTCCAAATACAATTCCTCTTCAAGTCTTTTTTCAGGTGATTGAATCATGGGTTTAAGGTGTCGGCTTTCCAATATCTTGTTTCAATCGATTAAAAGTTTTTATACTTCTTGTTTTTCAGTCGGCTACTGGGGATCATCACAAAGAAGGATATCCTAAGACACATAGCCACACTGGCCAATCAGGATCCAGATTCCATCCAGTTCCTTTAATGGAACATATGGAAGAGTCCAGCCCATTGGATAGACGAGCAATAGAACAGCTGTCCTGATTGGTTCAGCGTTTGACAATGAATCAATGTGAAGATATTCTGAGGAAATTTAAAGGATGTTTATTTCCATATAAAGGTAAATTCCTCAGGTGACCACATCTCAGTTCTAGTGGCCATTATTCTTCAACTATAAATTGAAGGAACTCTGAAAATATTCAATTACAAAAGTTTAACAGAAATGTAATGTAAAAAGTAATATAATTGTGGAATTGTTGTGGATATTTCTATGATGTGCTTTCAATGGAAAGTGAAAGGTACCATCCTTTTGAGGATGACTAATATTTGTGATTTTTCAGTCTTCAGTTAAACTAGATTTTAATGTATGATACAAGAGCTTTCACTGCTCCTTGATTCAGTCTAAAGCATAAACTGCTACAAGACAATGAACACACCAGTCACAAGTTTAGATGGTTGTGTTACTTGTGTAGCATACTAGTATACAACTTGGCAATCAGTGTTTGTAATGTAGTCTGTCAATTGAAAGTATTTTGATACTAGTAGTATAGTCTAAACCAGGAACTGTAGTGAGTTACTTTGTCAAACAAAAGTAGAACTTCTGGCAACTAGTCAAATAAGTTTTGTAGTTATGGTATTCTGTGTTAAATTGTTATGTATATCATAAGGTGTTTTTCATTTGTAGGACCAAATTTGTACAGTTCAACTCTGCATGACTCTGCTATGATGGAACTTTAAGCCATTCCAACTATCTGTTGGTTCATTTTATAGCCTTTTATCCATAGAATTCCATACACAACAGACCTTTAAATCTGGAATGGAACAATTCAAGATCATACATGTGATGGTGTGAAAGAATTGATTTTTGGAAATGATGTTGTATTTGTATGTACCACTATAACCAGATGTAGAGATTATATATGTTCCATAAATGTTAGTATTTACTTTTTTTTGGGGGGGGGGGCAATATTAATCTGATAGTTGTAGTTGTAGTCTGTAACTATGCTATAGTAATTACACTGTATATGTAAGTAAAAAAATAGATATATGAATTACACAATTATGACAGCTGGACTGGTGAGTGGAATTTCTGGCACTTTGCAAATAAGATGATTTCACTAACTTTGCATACTGTCAATTAACTTAATATATATGTCATGTATATGTATGATACAGAGAAATAGGCTATGGAGTCATAGATACGTTTGAAGTTGTATCCTTGGAAATGTATTACAGATGTGATTATTTTATCTACAAATAGTAGAGGGAACATGCTTTGGTATACTAGTACTAGGTCCAGACGTAGAAGAAAATGGTGAATTCTTTTGGTTTTTAGTAAGAGTGGTATTGGTAACAGCTGGATTTCATGGTAGTGTTGCTGCGTTTGTGTATTTCAAAGATATAACTTTGGGTTTCAATGTGGAGAAACGTAGTCCTGACGGTTTGGTATATTTTTGTATGGTATTTATTCAGGTTTTTGTCATTTTTGGAAAGAGCAAAGTGTGCTGTATAGATAATGTACTGTAATATGCTTGTTGGTAGGGGCTTAGGAACCTTGCTTTCGTGTTCTTACATTTACATCAAATAAGGGTGCCAAATAAAGTAGGCAGCAAGAACTTGGTTTTCACATCTACAGCTGAAAGTTGGGAATTCAAAACAAGACCCCAAAAACTCTGCTCTAAATGAATAAAGAACTATGTATACTTGCTGGCAGACATACCTCCTTTGCCTATGCTAAACCTTCATAGAAATTGTGATACTGGGAACTCTTACATTGTATTGCGATAAGCAGACATGAAATGGGAAAGACTACATTTAGCAAGAAACACCTTTACTTGTTCCCGATGAGATGAAAAATTGCCAAAATGGATTGTTTACATATACTGTATTGATCCTCCTTTGAGAAAGTGTTTCTGGCCAATGAGGTTACTGGTGGCTCTTGCATTTACTGATTGACTCTCCCATAGTACTGTATGTCACATTTGTCTACTTGCAAATGCACATCATCACCTTTCTCTTTTTATGGTGTTATTGCTCTCTGCATAGAGATATGCAGAAATATAAAAGCTTGTATGTATGGAGGAAGGTCTTGCTGAAAGATGGTTGCCTAAAATCTGAAGGAAAATCTGCCAAATCTGCATTACCGGTATATGTGTATAGGAATTGTATATCAGTATTGTACAAGTAGATTATCATATGGAATCTATTAAAAAAATCCTTTAAAATAGATATGGAATTCTTGGAATAATAAAACTTTTGCTGTCCTGTCAAGAAACCTTGTATTCGTGGTTTCAACTTGTGTTGTGTCCTTAGTCATGTATGTGCCAAGTGATGCTTGAAACAGCTGCCTTGCAACTCTTGTTTGCCTGGCTTTTTGGCGACGCCCTTTGGGGGCGGAGGCATTTGTGTAAGTACTACGATCGCTTTGAAAGAATTTCAAAAATTACACGAATGCAAACCTTCGGCCATGTGGTTTTTGGATCAAGCAGGTAACTTACACCAGTGCCCACGTGCCACCCATCCAGCTGCCTGGCAAGATTAATTACTGGTCATCAGTCTTCTCCCCACACCATGGACAGAGAGGAATATAGGAATAGGAATTTTTTAAAGAGTTAAACAGCCCAAGAATCAAACATCTTGATTATTGCTTTGATGACCAATCATTTGCATAGGCGATAATGTTACCTAAGTTTGCCTGTTCAGTGCAGTAAAAAAAACTCAGACTCAAGATGTGATCTATTGGTAAGTTTATTTCACCTCATTGACAAGAGTCAATAGAGGTTAAAAGTGGACATATGTACTTATTTTCTTACTCCAATTTGTACAATTATTTCTGTATCACTACAATACAGCACACAGGACATGTCTTAGTATACAGAAACAACAGCCAAGACCACAGCAACCCAGTTGAACTAGAGATGTCCAGTCTTCTCAGTCTCGCTTGTCGGGACGGACCCTCTCTGGATCTGGGTACTGGGGCACGTTGAACCAGAACTCGTCACTGAAAATGATCTGAAAGGAACAAATTCCAGAATAAGAGTTAACTGTGAAGCGTACAGTGGAAACATAGGCAACATACAAGCAATTCAAGCATTCTTTGTCAAGTTAGTGTTGCAACTATTCATCACATCTGAAGCTTTTTGCAATCAATATTTTGCTACGTGCAGACAAGTAAATATTGACTATCGGGTACTTCCCGTCTTGATATTTTTCAATTTGCAATGTTGTTAAAACTTCTAGCACCATACTAGTACAAATAGTACTTACGTAGGATGCACTTGCAACCAGGGAGCTGACTCCAACCAGAAGTAGGATGTTTCCATTCCCGTTCTGGGTGCCTGACTCTGTGGCCATGCGGCGGACAGACTGGCGAACGTTGGTCCCTGAAAGGGAAAAATTATATCATTTCACTATAACAATTTTACTAGTTGGTAACTAACTTTTCTTCTCATCAATTCCCAATAATTCACTAATATACATTTTATAATTATATTAAACAAGTGCAGTAAATCATGAAAATTTTGATAATGAGGCAGCTGGTTCCATCTTACAGGAGTCTACTATAGATTTTCCATTATACTATTGTGCTGAATTATGCTGATACAGTTTTACACTGACACACATACCTGCTTCGATATATTTTTATTATCTTGTCATGCAGTTTTTGAGTTTTTTCTTTAATACCTTCCTGAATCCAGATCAAATACTTTTTGCAATGCCTGCAGTTGATACTGAATGTTCGACCTTTTTGATATTTCAATATATTCCTGAATATAATCAGTTTGTTGTAGTACTAAGCTTGTACACAAAAATTATTTTACAAGGACAAGTTGAGGAGGATAATTTCTCTCCTGCCATGTCGATACGCTACACCCTAATTTAGAGCTTAAGGGTCAATCAAAACGGCAGTGTCTGACTCTACGATTTACTTGAAGTCCTACACAACCACTTACCGACTAGTCTGGGGAGAGTTCTCAAGACTGGCAGCATTTTGAGGCAGTTTTCTCGTCACCGGTTTCCAACTTCGTGCGGTTCTTCTGATCCAAAATGGCGGTGACTCCTGAAGTCTCGCGTTGACCTTGTGAATATCGCGAGATCTCACGAGAAATTACTATTTTGGGAAAGACTATTCAGATTGGGGGGTAACTTTTCCTCTCTAATCAGAATGCTGCACGAAAATATTTTCGAAGTTATACATAATAGACCAATTGTTAAGTCTAATTTACTTGTATCATTAGACTTTATCAACAATTTCGGTTCGTCGTAATAATGTTTTACAGTGGTATATAAACATTTGTGAACCCTCTTATGTGGTGGTTTCGTCTACTTCAAACACATGGGCAAAGAAAACATGAGGTGTCCAGCAGGTGTGTTGAATCTTTACCTGGTGTTTTTCCTTGTTTTGCACCTATTTGTGGCAGGGCGGTGCGAAGATCCTGCGAAGGAGAACGTCTCTGATGAAGACTTGGCCACTGGAAATGCATCGGATCAAAAACTGTCCGGCTGGGACGTCTGTATCCTTTGGGCAGTTTGGCATAATAACTTGGCAATAGCTGATTGGCTGATAGCTTTTCCTTTGGCTAACATTTTCCTTTGTACAGGATGAGGCAGCATCCTTGGAAATACTGAAGCCATCATAAAGATATCTGGTTGTGTCTTATTTGTATGCCCATATAGTCAAGTGCCTGAATTTTAGAAATATCAAATTGCTAAAATTGTTGCCAGGTTTTATACCTGGCAATCTGGCAATAAAACCTGGCAACAATTTTAGCAGTTTGATACATGTATTTCTAAAATTCATACACTTGGCTACTTTATACAAAGTATGGACAATTGAACATACTGTTTGGTTCCTTGACCATATGTTGAAGATAAGAGACTGTTTGTTCATAAGCGTGTGGATCACAAGGATGCAGTCAGCACCATTGTGGCTATGGAGGGATATGCAAAACAGTACAAGATGATCAACATTCTTCTAGAAAATATTTTAAAGGTATTAAACAATCATGATATATTTCATAGTTTTCCATTTTGACTTTAATTGCAGTTCTAAGTTCCTGTTGCACACTGCATGAGCTTGCAAAACTGTCAGTGCTAGTGTAAATATTCTATTTGGTCTCTCTGTTTTTCAGGTTCTTCCAGATGCACAAACTAGTCTACAACAAGCAGGATACTATCCTGGTCCATTTCCTGAAAATACAGACATCAAGGATGGTAACTAAATTTTAGATTGAACCCACATGGAGTACCTCCAATGAAGGAGAATGCTATAATATACATTACTTGAGTACATTACTTCTTTTACCAATAATTTAGTTTTTTGATTAGTCAAACATAGACTGACTTTACTTCTAGTTGTGTCCAAAATGATGAGTCAATCAACAGTCATTATCATGTTTCTTTCCATAGCATTGTCCAGACTATTGGAAAACGTGGCCTTCTTTGGGGATATTCTGCTGAGATTCCCTGATATGACACATGATGTTCTGAAGAAACACCAGGAGTGGAGGACTATCCTAGAGGCGGCTGTTGTCTTCTGTAACCAGACTCAGCTGTACAGCGAGGGGGTCAATCATGAACAGCTGAACTTGGTGAGATGTGAATGCAGTTATGTTTCACAAAAAAACTCAATATATATACATGTATATGGTATATCACAGGATCAATGTGATTCTAGCAAGGACATTATTCCATGAAGTTCCACAAAAAAACTCAATATATATACATGTATATGGTATATCACAGGATCAATGTGATTCTAGCAAGGACATTGTTCCATGAAGTTTTTTTTTTTTTTGCCGTATTTACATATTGAGAATTTTTCAGGTATCCCAGGAGCTGGGCCTAATAGAGAAGGATCCCAATTACCTAAACCCATTCAGCAAGGAAGGAAAAATGGTTAGTTGTCTTCTTGCAGTATTAAATCCTTAGATAATCTGTCAATGGCAGCAGGAAGTAGCCATACACTTCTTGTCAACCATCTTCCAAAAGAACACAAAAGATTTACATTGTAAAAAAAGTGCATTCTAATGTTAAGAAAAATGTGTAAATCTATCTACAAAAAATCCAGATTAATGAATTTTTAAAATCATGATGTGATGATACTTATATGTTCTGTTCATCCATAGATTTAGAAGTTTTATTTTTATCATTTTGCAGGCACAGGAACAGCAGATGTTACAGGCAGCTAAATCAGCTCATGATAAACCTAAGAATAAGAAGAAAAAGGACAGAGAGAAAAGAAAAGGACCAAGACTCAGCCGATCCAAGAATGAACTGTAACAACCTTTATTACACTGTGAACCACAAAGGAATTATTTTATTGCATTTACATGTATGTGAACTACATTTGTATTTGGTGAAAATTAGGTGGATGAAAGTAATAAATTCAAATACATTTCAGTACCAGTTTGAAAGTCGTATCCTTGAGTATGACTATGAATTTGGATGTCAAACTATTTCCAGTATATATAAGAGTCAGTTAGGTTTACAGCAGATACTCCTGTACAACATACATGTACATGTACAGAAGGAATTTGAAACCATCAACCATTGGTTAACGGGATCAACACACACTTTTACAAGTAACAAGTTACAACATTTTAGAACATTGGAATTGTATTGTAATCCTATGTTATCCCCCAATGTTACAGTGGCTGTGATGAGGCCAGTCTCTCCTCCTTATTGCAGAAGAACCTGAGTTTGTTTGGAAGAATCTTGACCTTGATGGGCATCACCTCGTAGGGTTCATTGTCAATGCTGAACCAGCTTTCCTTGCCCTGCAAATTCACAGAAATAAAATGCCATGATCTAAAAACCACAATTAAAGCTTTGATATAGTATTGTAACAGTTCAACAAATCTAGCATCTCAGAAATCATACATGTACCAACTTATCACAAGAAAGAACCATAGTCAGCAAACTCCCTGATTAAAGTTTATCAATGCATACTATTAGGTATCTTATTTGAAAGCAAGATACACATTTTGTATAAAAATACACACTTTTAAAATAATAATACACATTTTGGAGAAAATGCTGAAAAGATGTGTATTGAACTAATCCATGGCATACATGTACACACAGAAAAGATGATACTGATTTTTTTACCTCTGGAATCTGTGGTTCTAACTGGAATGCATCAACCTGCACCTTGGACCAGTCATGTCCAGGCACATCTTGGGGAGGAGTCTTAGTACTTGCACTCAAGTCCCTAGATTGTAAGACATAATCATTCTCAAACACAAGTCCTTGTAACCATGAGAAAAAAACATTGCTACTTTTACTTCCGTAATTTCTTGCATGAAAACAAATGCATGAATAGATAGATAAAAGTGTGATAGTCTTACCCCAAATTGACAAAATCTTCCCTTGAGAGCTTTGGACTTGAGCTCACTACAATGCACTTTTCCTAAAAACAAAGCCCAGACCAGATTAGGATTCACTCTGCTTACAAAGTAAACAAGGTCACAATCTCAAAATAAGACTGAGAAAATGATAAAAGGTATGAAAACAAGAGAGGAACTATCTTAGTACCAACCTTTGAAGTAGTAGTGTTTGTAGTAGATGCCGTGAACTCCACAGCAGATACTCTTCTCTCTGTGTCCCAGGAGTCTGGCATTACAGCTTCATTTGGATCTGTAAAATTGAGAACAACTACTAGTAAGTGTGACTGCAATTTCTGAAATATGCAGTATTGTGCTAAAAAAGAACTAATTTGTATTTAAGACTATTGCTACTTAGCATGCCCCATACCTTCTTCTGGTTCTATTATGACCTTCTGTGTTGATCTCCAAGGCCAGAGCCACGCCCACCAGCTGGTGTCAGGTTCAGGTTCAGGGTCCTTCGTTCTTACTGTCTCCACAGGTTGTACATTGTAGGACAGAACTGCACTCACTTCAGATGGCCAGTCCTGTAGAAAAGTTTATAAAACAAAAAGGTATTCAAGAGAGATCTTCACATGTGGATCAAAATCGTTATTACTTGCCGGCAGCATGTTTTTGTGCTCTATCAGTACTGAAGTCTTCCAGGCTGCACAGTGTTCTATATACACAGTGTATCATATTAGAGACATACCTTCATTAATCTTTTGATGTATGCAAATCTCTGCTTCAGGGGTCCCATGTACCAGTACCTGAAACAGGAAGACAGAAATGTAGGTCAACTGAAAGCTAGCAGCAGGATGAAATGAATGAGATGTAAAGAAAAGAATTAAGTGTTCATCACACTCTATGACTTACTTGTCCAGATTTTGTTCAGCATCTCTGAAGGCTCCCCATCGTATTCCAAGAGTGGCAAATACTGGCTTACTGTTCTCATCCTAAAAAGACAAAATATGTCAACTCAACGGCACTACTCTGATATGATTTTGAATTGAAGACCATCACAATACTAAGCTATAAAGCCCTTCTACTATTGATTACCAGTAATGTATAACTTTGCAAAAGTAACTTAACTCTACTTTCAATCTGATGCTACTGTACCTGTAGAGGCTGTATTCTCATGACATCTACTGGACAGGTCAGCTCCTTGATAACTGCCATGGCTGATTCTGCTATCCACCTACAGAACAAGATTTGTTAAATACTCATGGAGTAGGGGATACAAGTCAGTTATCCAATACAAAATTACAATACAATACAATACAATTACAGGTGTTCCCTTGACTCATTGCAATTCGCAACACATTGGTTGAAGCTTACAATGATGTCATACACACCACAAAAAAAAGAAAATGATTTGATAGTTAATCTCAGCGTTACTTTCATTGACTTTCAGAAAACTGTATAACACTCAAACCATGAGACCTGTTCATAAGATTCAGACAAAGGTTACAAAAACAACACTGCAGAGTTACCTGACTTCTGATTCTCTGCTGGCAAACAAAGACGTGGCTAAGCTGTTGTTTCTTCCCAGAGGGATGATGCCTATTGGGATCTTACTCGTCTGGAACTGTTGGAGAAAAAAACATTAACACTGTATCCAGATATGGCAATGAATTTGCTGAAGTTTTACAATGTTTACATTAATCTTATTTTGACCGTAGGAAAAGGAGAAAAAAAAACAAATATTTCACCTGATCACTTCTTCTCAACATCCCAGTGACAACCTACAGCATAGAAGAAAGTAAACATGTGACTTGTGATAGATTGATGGTTTTGATACAAAACAGAAGACAGCTAAGTGTCCACTGCCAATGCAAGCATCATGCACTAATGACAGTCTAACATACCTCCATGATAGTACCATCTCCTCCTGCCACTACTACTGCATCTGTGCGCTGTAAGGTCTCCGGGAAACTGGCCAGGGCTTTGGCATGGCCCTCATAGTCAGTCTGTGGTATTGAGAAATACACCAGTAGGTGTTTAAAAACTTTAATGAGTAACAGCAAAACATTGGAGGAATCCGAGGAAAACAAGGGGTTTATACCACTTAGTAGGTTTATGTATATTCCACTACTATTCTATGAAGAGCTGTCCAAAACATGTGTATTAAGTAAATACAGTGTGTGTAGTAGTATTATACATTAAAAATAACAATGTCACAGCAAAAAGGTTGAAAACATCTAGTGCAACCAATGACAGTGTTACCTGACATACCCTAAGAATATTAAGATCTGATGCATCCATTTGCCATATCATCATCAGTACCATAAATGTGCCATACATGTACATAAATCTGAAACTCCCTTTGATCAGGGAGGTTAGATTGAATAGATTGCTTTATTATTACAGGGAAGCCTGACCTCTATTATGGTGACTTCCAGACCAGCTAGATGAAGCAGAGGGACGGCATTTTTCTCAAACTTCTTACGTGCTTGTCTGCGGAAGAAGCAAAAATACAAATCAATACCAGAAAATTATTATCAATCGATGATGATGCCAACATCAATAGAATAATAATCATTTATCCCTTTTGACAAATATCTCATCAAAACATAGCAAGGAAAGAAAACAAAGCAATGCAGATATTTGTGAACCTCCTTATAAGTTTATAGCAGTAATCAAACAAGAAATGATGTTGATTCTTACCCTTTACAAGCAGCTGGGTTGAGGAAGACGACCACTTTCCTTGTCTGTCCCATACAGTGTAGCGGTTGTTTGCCATATTCCTGTAATTAAATGAAATGGGACATTATAATCTCTAGGAGAGCACAGAAAGAGCATGTCTCGCAGACTAGGGAATATCTATTTTTTTTATTTTCTGTCATATTTATACAGAGTTCGGATATCTAACAATGGATCGAAGTATGTGAACAATTAAGTATCCTTTCTTATCTCATCATGTAGGAAGTCAATGCTCACCTGTGCTCTGTCACAAAATTCTCTTCTTACAAGGTTTTCTCTGAAAAAAAGGAATTTCTTTTAAATGGCTGATACAATGTTAAGGTCTGATTTTACTGTACAAAATACTGACACTGGCTATAATTATTTATTGTACAGTATACTAATAATAAATCAACAGTTTTATCCATCAATGATCAAAATCAAGAACTCATTTTTGCACATGGCATGATGACCACCCCCCTCCCCCATTCATTTCCAGGGCGGTATTTGACATAGAACACAGTGCTATGCTTTCATATCACACAGACATTTCACTGGTGGCTTACTGATATTGGTTGTTCAGATATCTCCCTAAAAACGCGACGGCAGCTCCTCCAAAAGTCAGTTTCTTCCAGTGATTTCTGTAAAACCTCCACACGGCTGCCATTATGACCTCTAGTGACCCGGACGTGTCTGGACTAGACCACTAGTGTGGAACTGTTAGGGGGGAGAGAAAATATATCTCTCGTCATGTCTCGCCAAAAAAGTTTAAATAGAAGTATACCTAAATAGGTAAAATACACTATCAAGCAGCTATTAAGGAAATATTTGAAAACTGTAAGAATTGAAAAGTTTTCATCTTTCATAATCGTTTTTAAAAACGATCTCATTTAATCCCTCCTTTAAACATGTAACATTCCTCAGTGCAGAGGGATGCCGGGAACTTACGCTAACATGGCGGAATTTTGTAACATGAGACGCGGTCTTATCTAAACTTTTAAACATATTCTCGTCTTGTCGCGATTTCCTGCACCTTTACAGCTACAGGAGGTCGTCATCAAATCAAGGTAGCTAAAGGAATAGCTCCGATGCTCAGGGAGGACCTGTGTTTTTAGAAATTCCCCTTGGAGTGAGTGCTATTTTTCAGGTGAGATTTGGACCCCCACTGCTTTGACTGTCCGGTAGCGTTGTTTTCTTGTGTTTACATTCTCCAAGTATATCTTTAAGTCTGTTTGACGAAGGTGTAACACGCTGGGAACCAATTAGTAAATTTGCAGGCGTCTTGGGTACATTCTAGTACATATAAGAGTAGTTTATAATGTTGCCAGTTCATGACTCTTTCCCTGGTGATCATCATCGTATCTAATCTTTCGTAGGCAATTTTACTTCAACCATCCAAATTACTTTCGAAGGCTAATAGTAATGACGTTTGACATTTGCACGAAATTTCACTGCAAAAAAGTGTCATTGATCTATAAGTCCAAGTGCACTGAAACCGTGTTGTCATCACACCCCACAGTTGTATCCCTGCCCTTGGTGCTAGAAAGCCTTTTCTAATCCAAGATCATGGTGATGATTACATGAGTTTGATTTAGATCCAAGGCGGCCTTTCACTTATTGCTTAATCACGTTTTATGGAGATGTATAACAAAGTTTATTTAGATTTGAATGATATAACTTATATATTATAAGTGCCTCTAGGGTCCCGTGGGAAATGGGTGGAACAAAGTGCATGATACTGATGTGAGTCAAGGTCTGTCTGAATGTAGACATCCCTGGAGACATGGTTCACTGCGACATTCAATTTCATCATTTATCATACATCAGGAACTGAGTACAGCTGTCAGCTGAGGAGACCTAATCAAGTACAAGTAGTACAACTGTCACCATCTTTCTTATTTCGGTGACAATGATTTTTGTAGGGTCTGTATTTCCATTTCCAAAATTTTCAGGTTATGAGAGTTCCAATATCAATATTATTATGGTACAATTTTCTTGATGAAAACTACAGTAAAACGTCAATTGTTATCAATACAGACATTACTGTGTCTATAGTCAGGACATGGATGTAAAAGAGGGATGTGAAACATTGTGTACAGGCCACGAATAAACATTACTGAAATAGATAAAACTTTCATGACAAAACAAAGACAAACTCTACAGTGGCCACCAAGGTATATATGTTTTTGAAATGTTTTTACAACAATATTTATTTATTTTTGCACTATTCCATCCCAGATTATGTCACCATGGCAACGTCGACCATCACAATGACAGAGGAGACGACCGATGCCCTCACCAGTGGAGAAGGGTCGCTGCCTTTCTCAGGCAGCAGGAGTGACGACAGCTCACCCAGGAGGAACAGCTTCAAGGTCGCATTCAACAACTGTCACAATGGGCTAGGTAAGGACACAAGGTTTTCTCTAACCTTCTTCCTGGTTTACAACTTTCTGACTAATAGAAATTTGATGCCAAAATGCTGTCTTAGCCTAAAGACGCAGAAGGTAAATGATACCTGGTTGCCAGTAGTATAACCTCTATTAGCATGTATCCTAGGTATGCTAGATGGCACTGTAACGTTACTAGGCAGCGTTGAACGGTTGCATTGGAGATCACCTTAGGCTTAGACACGTTTTTCATGGTCACAGATTTATGTGACCTGGCTGAATTATAGCACAATGTAAATGTTACAGTCATCTTTGTTTTATTGCTACTTACAAATAACATGTAGTAACAAGGTCTGAAGTTGTAAAATTGAGCTGTTTGTTGTTTGATCATTGTTCTAGGAATCAAGATTGCCGGGGGAAGAAGTGCAAGAACAGGAGAAGAACGTGGAGTTTTTGTGAAGAAGGTCTTACTGGGAGGACTGGCAGCTCAAGAAGGTAAACACAATGTTTTCTCAAAGACTTTTATTTACAACAACAATGGTCATGAACTTTGTGCCTGACTGAGTGTGGTTTCAAAGTCCTACGTTCCTCCTAATTATTCATTATAATGCCATCACACTACACTGTTAGAGAGCTATGGAATGCAAAGTAGGGATTGCCCCAGCTCTGGATCTTTTTCATTGCAGTCCTCCCAGGGGTATTGTCTGTTACCAGATTAGGTGCAGATAAAGTGATGTTAAACAAGTCCTTAGCCCACTTTGATTCTCATGAAGCCTCTCTTCACACTGAATGTCAAGTGACTTGTAACCTGATCTGAAGGTATGACATTGAAGAGAAGTAAGCATGACGGCCCTTCACACTACATGGCTTTACAGATGGAATACCAGCTGCATACCGTGCACTAAACCACTGTTGTTAATTGTCAGGTGCATCAATGGTAGAACTATGAATGTATTGTAAATGCATGGAGGGTGTTGTATGGAAAGTGAGCCTAAGGTCTTAAACCTACATACCAATACAGCTCTACACTTCAAGCTGAATGGCACAGAATTTTTCCTTTGAGAATGTATTTACAACTGAAACTGAAGTACATTATGTATGAAAAAAATGATTATGGATATTGATTAATTATAGCTATCCATATGTAATCTCTTGTAACTGGTGCAGAGTAAGAAAACATTTGGGATTGTTTTTCCAGACATGATTTGTTTAGACTACGTAAAATTCTATTAAAAGGGAAATTGCCAGTGTAATTGTGTTTTGCACAGCTTGTTCTGTTCCATTATCCTCACCTATAATGGCTATTGGCATTGTTCCAACAAAGGACACTTTGCATTATTAATGAGAAGAGAAAGGAGATAGATGGATCAGACCATGAAATGTCCAGCCTTTGCCTGGTGAGGAGACAAGCAAAATGTCACCATGGGCTTAGAGTAGATCATTAGTATAATTTTACAGTTACAGAGTACATGTATTATCTATGCCTTAGATTAAGTATGAATTACTACATGTTAGCAGTGAAAAAATAGATCTGTAGAAGGCAAATATGCTGTACATGTGTTGGAGTTTTTATATTGTTTTGGCCAGGACTGTACTGTATACAGATTTTTGTCTTGTCTGTGATGTGAAAATTTAGTTAGGTCTGTTTTGTGTGTATATGTTCTTGGTTCTCAGAGTCAAGCCTTTTAATTGTCATACTGTTGAACTGAGAATCTAATGATTAACGCTGGCAACCACATAAGAGTTAAGACTAACACTGTTATTGATAACAGTAGACAGTTGGAGGACGAATCTATTGTTTAGGTCAGCTCCAGATGTAAAGGTATGCGTTGACAAGGTGGCGGCTTTTGAGGGCATGTTTTGTTACTGATCAGTAAAAAGAATAGCCTTAGGAATGCTGTCAAATATTTAGTTAAGGTAACAAAAAATGACAAGTAGCAAAAGCTTACAAGGTGGTAAATGATTGATAGTAAAGGATGTTTTAAAATGTATGTTGCTTAGAAGATATATGACAATAATAGTGAGTTCTTTCGCCTAATGTTGACATATTACTGATCAAAGTATACAATATACCTCCTACATGTTACATTACAGGTGTGCTTGGACCATATTATTAATTCAATTCTGCTTGGATACTTCCAATTCATAACACAATCACAAGACATAGCAGGTTTAAGTAAGCAGCATATTCAGTGTCCATTTAAACCCCCAGAAACTTTTGGTGTGTTTTCTCACCACCTCCCTCTACAAACAGTGGAGTTGTGTATTTGCCATGACTGTCAATAGTGTTATTTTGCCACCTGTATGTAGAATGTAGGTAGTGTATTGGGAGAAAACATTAGGTAGACAAGGGTCAAGGATCTTTCCATGTGGAAGTGAATTGCTAGTAAAATACATGTATTAGTCTATTTGTCCCAGAATATCTGATATTATAAAGATTTCATGCAGACTAAATCACATGTACCACTAATGCTACATTGTTTGCAGCAGATTTAGATACTAGTACTTGACAGTAGTAATTGAGTCTTTTAGTTATACAAAATGTAACACCTAAACTCTTAGCACCATACATAAATGATACATACATTAATACGTTACACCAAAGCAAAAAAAATCTTTTTTTTTTCTTTCAGTATCTCTGGTCAGTCTCAGACAGGCATTTTTCAAGTTTTACAAACTGTTTCCAGTCTTGAGTTAATTTCTGCGTGTACAATGATACCCATCGACATATTTCCCTTTGTTGGATACAAGTTGCCTGACAAAAGAGCTTTTGTAACCGACACCGCCTGTGTTGATTTCACGTTGTTGTTGTTTACCCCCAGGTCAGCTGCAGGAGGGAGACCAGATCTTAGAAGTGAACGGCCAGACCTTACAAGGGGCCACCAACGAAAGGTAAGAGGCACTGATATAGCGTTACACAAGTACAATACTTAGCGGTTAAAGAAACAAACCTTTGTAGATCAGAGTAACATTTTGAGTGTTAGATGTCCAGCTTGTAGTAAATGCTGCCAGGTTATGCACAAGTGCAATCATTGCCCATTAGTAATTATTGACTAATTTATAGAAAAGCTGGATAGTTTTTAGAACTAGTTGGTACATGTATGAGTAAAGATTATCGCTAGCAGTATTATATATTACTGGAGACCCAATTTTAAAGGACTAGGTACACAGAGTACAGTGTGAAGTGGGTCGTCTTTGTGTTGTTTCCAAACATGAAGCTGAAGTCTTTTATTGCCTTTACAATAAGTAATCATTAACTAGTGTCAAGATTAAACTCCGATAACCTTTGACTCACTGTATTGTGTAAAGGCTAGCTAAAAGAACATTTTCCTTGGGTTCTAAGCCTTTCCTTAGTAACATGGACTAATGGTGTAGCTTGGTGTGTTATGTCAATAGTGCGGCACTGTGTTAAGGGTATGGTGTTTACATAATGCTATAAACATTTGTAAGCACCTACGCTCGAATATTTGGACAGTCTAAAAGAATGTTTTTGAAACCTTTGATCATGCTGTCAGATGCAACTTTCATATAGTTAAGGCAATATACAGCATGTTTAGGTAACTTTATGGACATTTTCTGGTTGTATGTATTACTATTAGAAATTGACAATATAATACTACTGGTACTGCTATAACAGGTTGTATCAGAAAAGTGTTAGACAGAACATACATTTTGTAGTATATGAATATGATATATGAATAGCATGCAATTTACACTGAAGCCAGTTGTGTATAATATCTTTTAACTTGAATTCCTCATTTTACAGAACACTTTACAGTATATATAACAATCAAACAAAGGAAGTGTAACAGCTTGTACATACATGTTTTTTCAAATGCGCATATTGATTAGGAAGAGTTGACCAGTTTCAACGCGTTGCAAGGACACAGGCCAATCGATCATGTCAACAGTCTCATAACCTTTTACCACAGAGTGTTTAATCTTCTGGGCCATTTTGCTTGTAAAATTTATTTGTTTATAACCTTTGCTAGTACTACTAGTAGTAGTAGCATGTAATTTGCAACAGCTGTCTAAACTGACTGCTATTACCCAAGTAGGGATACTTAGAGTGTGCTATAGCTCTTCAATTTTGGTGTGGTTAATACATGCTGTCACCAAATGTGCAATTTATGTTGTAGTTAGGAAACTAAATGTTGTATGATTGTGGCCATTTTATTACAGAATGAGGAGCATTATTAGATCTGGTGACAGAAATTAATGTAGTACTATCTAGTAGCATATTTTATTGTTGCCAACTCCTATTTTTTACCAATACAGAAATCATTGTTAGTGATTGTAAAGTGATCAATACAACTTAAAATCCAATGTTTTGTTTTCAGGGCTGTGTCTATCCTGAGAAATGCTTCAGCCACTGACAGTGTGGAGCTGACTGTAGCAAGGGACGATGTTGCCAGGTAACACAGTCATCTTAAAAACATCTGACTCTTGCAATTTCATGTTGACTTATACAGTACTATAGAAGTATACAGTACTACTAGTACTTGTAATATTCATGAATCACAAGTCTGAATGCAAGGCAGGTTGAAATTATGTATGTAGAGGTTTAAAGATTTTTAACATTGCTAATATTTTTTTTGATAGGAGAAAATTTTGGAGTCTGACTTCATTGAGAGATGCCATGGCTCCTTGGCAGGACTTGAAATTCATTTTTTTTGTACATGTATATTATTTGCCTTCAAATTTAGAGGCACAGAACAAAATGTTAGTGCACAAAATATAGTAAAATGTCAACAAATCCTATTACTACGTCAAAAAATATGCTGTATAGTAGTATACATGTGCTATATGTATACTAGCATACATGTACACAAATATTTAGGTGCACCGGTGCGCTCGGTGTAGTGTTAGGTGTACGTACGGCTCCAGTTCTGTGTATACAAAAGTGCACTCCGAAACATTTGAGCCCTGTAGGATACATGCAAAGGTTCTAACATGTGAACATTTGACATTTGCTGTTTGTAGGGAGGAGTTTCTTGCGGTGTGTGAAAGTCAGAGCAACTATAGTTACTCCAGTGGGAGCTCGGGAGACCGACCCAGTACTGTGTCCAACAGTAGTATGTACTCCACAGGTAAGGGCTCAACTGGCAATTACAGTGTCACCATACATGCACTACTCAGTCTCAAGTCTCGTGTGTTAATAGTATAGCCTATAGGTGCATGTGTCAGATATGACATTTGAAGTCAATGCTAATAGTTCAAATTTTATAGTCACATGATATCTTGACACTACCCTGAACTGCTGCAGTTAGACATGTCATTATACAGTGTCCATTCAGTCTGAGATCGAATGCTACTAATCTTTCAAACTGTATCTACCAGTATACAATGTAGGTACATGTACATGTAAAGAGACAGTACAGATTTTGTATAGTACAAATATGTAAAGATACAGTACAAATCTTATACAGTGTGATCATGATTACACTTGAATGTTGATGCACAGAGGAAGGAAAGAGCCAATCTCAGTAGGCATTTGAAAACATGTCAGTCTTGTTATAAAAGTTATTGCAGTAGGCATGCTGTTGTTGGTATATTATGCGCTGCATTCCTCGGCTTCTCATATACAGTAGCAAAAGGGTCAAAGTCTGATACTAGTACTGAAAATGGTCAACAAAGTTTAAGGCAGAAGAGCTATACCAGTTTTTAAGTTGCCAGGGACTGTTGATTGAAAAAAAGATGGAAATGAAATTAGGTATTGGGCCTTGATTCTAGCTATATGTTTACATGTATATGAATGAAAGTTAAAGAATGGGGATAGGATGAAAATTATATGGTAAAAGAATGTATCATTTTCTCTAAAGTAGGTTGATTTTTAAACTTGTCAAGTAGAAAATAGCGCATCTAATTTCCTTGTATTTATGTCATCTAATTAGAATGAATGTATTGGTGACAAATTTGAGTATGCATTGGACTTTGAACTACTATGCCCACTTTGTGTAGTTCCAAGGTTAAACTTTCCATAACCAACAATAACCAACCTGTTCCTACCATCTGTTACATACATTAATCAGCTCCTATTGTGTGTAAACTCAGTCAGGCTTTTACTTTATTTAGAAAAGAAAATGTTAAAGATATGGAAGGCTGAAGGTATTGGCTTCTTGTTATCAGGCCAAAGGCCCATGTCTCCCATGTCATCTGGATCCTCGGTACAACCTTCTCCTCCCTTCATGAAGAACATTGGGAAGTCCCACAGGCCAAGAGTGCAGAACAACAGGCACAGCCCATTGCAAAATGGGGGTGCCCAGGGCCCTCCAAACAGGTAAACTTACTCAAACTTTCTTTTTACTTGTGTATATGATTTTTATGTAGTTTTGTATGACTTGTTACAAGTCGATTATCTCAAGTCTTAGAAGTTATGTGTAAGACTTGAAAGTCATCAGTATCTCAAATAGGTACAACCTTAAACCTTCAAGTCTAAGGTAAAGAAGCATCTGTCCTCACAGTCCATGTAACAGTAACCAAAAATATGAGAGAGGTTCTCATGAGCCTTGTTTTGTGGTGAAAATTGAAATAAATAAAAAAAAATAGAGAAAAAGACAGCTAAGATGCTTTCAACATTATGTGTTTTCATGCAATCTTGAATGTTGCCCACAGTTCGGATGTTCAGGTGATCACCATAGCCAAGTCCTCAGGACTGGGCATCAGTGTGGAGGGTGGCACTAACCGTCCTGAAGGACCACTGGTGTATGTGACAGAAATTCTGCAAGGAGGGGACTGCTATAGAGTAAGTACTGTCATCTCTGTATTCTCTTGTGTGCTCTGGTATGTTCAACATGTAGTTGTGCTGAATTTTACTCACAGTTGCTGCATAATACAAGCTGCTGTTATTTTTGTTTACACCATATACTAGTACATGGAAATTTTTTGAAGACATATGTAAATTATTTGTAGGCAAATCAACCAACCGTCACCCATTTTATGCCTACCACTCGCTGGCAGTGACGTCATGGTTATCGCTCATATTATGTTTAGGACTAAAGTATAAGACAATAGGTTCACAGACTTCTGTGACAACAGTTTCAGGTCTCTGCTACACAGCCATGTGACCTTTTTTGAAGGACTTACGCACGAAAGAAGAGTGTCAAGCTTACATTGGTGTAAATATTTGATCAGTGCCGCAGAGTAATGATCATTTCATGTTTGAATGTCTCATGGGATGCTGAGAGGTCAAAACCATCATGACTAGTCATGACATTAGTTCAACAGCTCATGCTAAAACTTACAGTCATTGCTGGCTAAAGCAAGAAATGCAGTATTGTACTTCCTGTTAGGAAAATAAGGACGCTAGTGAAGAAGATGGAAAACATTGGCTTTAGACATAAAATCTGTCAAAACGTACATATATGCATAGTAGAAGTTTAACAGCACATGGAATCACACATCTCAATCTGATCTGTTCAAAGCTTTTGCACACACTGTTTTGTAATTTTATCTGCTGTGTTTTTCTGCTATGTAGGATGGACAGTTGCAACCAGGAGACCAGTTAGTAGCTATTAATGGAGAGTCCCTGGTGGGGATAACTCACGAGGAGGCTAGGAGTATCATCACTAGAGTCAAACTCAGGTTGGTGACTACTAGTTATACTGTGTTCTTGTTTGAGGGCCAAAATATTTTGTACCGCATACCTACAGGGTTCTGTATCTGTTTGGCCAGTATAACTGCCCTTCAGCGTAACATACCAGCTTTGCAGGTGGCGCTGCGGCAGCTGGCTATATTACACTTGTTACACCTACTCTTTGAACATGTAAAGCTATCTAGTGATGGTGCCCCTACTGCATTTAGTGGCAGTGAGTTCCAGTCTACGTCAATTCTAGGAAAAAATCAAGTTTTCTAATACCTCAATCCTTGGCTGATACACGTATGTCTGTTACATGAAGGCATGGCTATTTCTTGTTCAGTTTCAGGTAACATATAAGATATTGCCTACTGCTTACAAACCACTCCTGCACTGCTTTGCCAGCATAAGAGGTAACGGTACATGAGGTACTGTACTGTATGGAATCTTGAAAGATTCTTTTACCTTGCAGACCATCTAAGACAGTGGAGCTAGCGTTCAGCCGAGGTGGGCAGTCCCCGCCCCACTCTGCCTACATGGACAGCCTGCCGGGAAGTGCAGACACCACTCCTCCCAAGTCTTCTCATGATTCAACAGGATCTTATATCACACCTCCACAAGGTGTGTTGCATTTTTCCTAAAACTATAATATATCTGTTAAACTCTAATGTTTTAATACGACAAAATGTGTGTGACGTCTTGAATGCCTTCATGCATGTACATATATGCTTACTTTCAGATATCCAAAGATCTGGAGGCTTGACATATCCTCACCTTCAACCAAACGCCTTCTCAACTCCACAAGCAGCTAACCATAGACACAATGGTAAGTACAACAGTGTAAAATGTAAAATACATGACATGCAAAGTTACATTGTGATTCAAATTAATTTCAAGTTCACTGGGACTTACGTGTTTGTGATTGAAACAACAACATTTTGCAGTGCAATGATGAACATAAAACCTCTGCCACATGTTATGGTATGTAAAAGTGATGGTGCTTTGACAGTTGATGCTTCAAAGAAACTTCAAAACTTTTCATTGTTTTGACTGCAGGGCACAGTAGCAGGCACTACTCAGGCTCACCTCATACTGAGATATCCCCAGTCCTTCCAACTCCCAACAGCACCTCACCACAGTCAGCAGGGTCCAGGGTGAACAGGACAGGAGGACCAATCAGAGATCCCAGAAGACTCTCGCTGGATCCACACACAAGATTGAAAGTTGACAAACTAGAAACAGTAAGTAGTTTGTAAATATGATTTCCCATCTTGTATCTGTATAGCTGATATAACCACCCTTTGGCATAACACACCAGCTTTCTGGATTTTTGTTGTTATTAAACTGCATGAACCATTTGCCTTGCCATTCCTCAAGCAGAGTCAAGGGCATTTAGGTCTTCTTGCTTCTGCAGTTCTTTGATAAACACATAGGGGTCTCTTTTCTCTCAGAAACCAGTGTTATTGGACAAGCATGATGAATAAATCTTTGAAGAATTGATTTTCCATCACCGGCATCAACAAAACCTTTTTCATTGAAGAATGTGTGGTTTGTAGCACTGTTGTTTTGGCCAACATGTGATAGTAGGAATAAGATTTACCTGCTGAATTTACCACCTGATTTTCTCGATTTGACCACCTGAAGAATCCAGGTGTGTCCATTGTAAAGCTGGAGAACTCGAGATGTATTTTAATTTTGAGCAAGGATATTTTATGGTTCACATGTATCTCTTTGCAATATTCCTCACTTTCCCTATGGATTTAGTAGGTTCATCTGGTTGACGTCAGGCAAATTTCTGCCTGACGTGTTTGTGTGAGAGGTGCTGTTATATGACAGGAAATTCAGGACTGTTCTGTAGGCTGATGACGTTTATTCTTCTCAGCGACATCCTGTTCCCACGACTGCACATATAAATAGGCTTTTATCCCTGTTCACATGATTGCAACACCAATTTTCCCTCTGTCAGTGAGAAAGAGATAATTTCACATGAAGACAAAATTACAAAAAAAAAGCATGACATAGGGTCATGTATATTTTACATTGACGTCCAAGCATCCAAATATGGAATTTAAAACATTTTTAGTCTTCCTGTTCCAATACATGTGAGAGGAGATGAAATTTCCTTGAATGCCATTTGCCATTCTTATATTATTTTGTCAGCAAAATTGCTGTTTTTAGTTTGTCTCTTGCAGTATTAAATAGTCAGTAATGTCCATCATTTTTCTGGACATGCAATAGACTGTAATTCCATGTCTGACTGGTGACCAAGAAATCAGTTACCCATAAATTACTAGCATACACATGTACCTTAAAAAATAGTATATACAAAGTATAGATAATGATAATAAGTAACATTAAAGTTGATTACTTTTTCTCATGTTTTAGGCCCTGAAGTACCTAGGATTAAAAACAACTGAGGGGCAGCAAAGATTACTGAGAAGCAGGCTGAGACCAGACAACACAGGGAGTGTTTCTTATGGAGGTGGGTTTACTGTGATGGTCATAGTTTTAGATGTAACTACAGAAATCCTAGCTAGCTCCACCAGTAGTACACTGAGTTGTATTGCCACTTATGTGTTTGAAATATAATCTTAAGCTAAAGTTGCACATTATATTGCATGCAACTTCAGTAAAGTAACTTTCAGCAGTTGAGGATGACAAAACAAGAAGAAGGGAACATTGTCACTAAAAATGTTGTTGTTACATTACGCTTGCAGGGATCTAGACTGCGGCTGCAAAAACTTGTGTGACTTGATTTAAAATCACAGTACCGCAGGGGTGCCTAGCAAATATCAAAGCCTGCACCATTAGATACTGTAAGTCTCTTTAGATTCGCGGGGCCTAAAGTTCGCGGTTTCGGGAAAATGGACAATCCGCGGTATTTTCAGATTCGCGATTTCTCCTTGGCCATTCCAAGAAGAACTTGTAAAGTGAATGTTTAAAACAATAACAGTTCGTGTCCCGGCATTTATCTCCTAAAATGCGGCGCAAAAATTTGTTTCGTGCACCGCGCGAGACTGCCGGCGGTAAAGCTGCTCTATCAATCTGACGCGCGTATAAACAATTTTCTTTGTTCGGAAATAAGCGCTAAAACGCTATTTTCCACGACTACACATCGATAATCTAGTGAAGAAATGCATAATCGTAAGAATCTTTCGAGAAAATATATATTCCTAAGCAAATTTATGCCGTTTTCGGCGAGATTTTGAACCCGGAAGTATGCAAAGGTCGCATTCGGTTTTGTAGGCCCACGGTAGCGTTTCTATCCAGCAAAACAAGAAGAAAAAAAAAAAACGCCCGCATAGCAGGGCGCAAAAGAGAATCAACTAACATTTCCCAGATACCAGTAGTTCTATTTTTCATCAAAATATTTGCAGATTTGCCCGATGTGCCCGCAATTTTCAAGTGCCCGTGCGCGCATGGCCCGGCGCTCTACACGCAAAGATTTTTGTCGGGCGGTGCACGTTTGACACGGCCAGTGCCGCAGTATCGTGATTCGGTGTCTCATAATATTATTTTTGATATCAGTATAACTTGAAAATTTTTAGTACTCAACAAACGTACATTTGCTGAGAATAAAGTTGATTTGCAGTGATTTGTGGATCGCATGTGTTGTTTCAGTGTTTCGCTTGCCGTCGTGAATCGGCCCTCGTGAATGCATGTGGGGAGGGGGGCACACTTACGCAAAACATATTCGCGGGGAAATAGATTCGCGGTACAAAGGTCCCCGCGAATTCCGCGAATCTAAATATACCGCGGAAATTTGTAGACTTACAGTAGTGGGCGGCAGAACAAAGCCATAGGCTGACATGAGTGGTGGAGAAACGAGCTCCAAACACTGCCGGCAGAAACAAGTGATCAAATTTGAAATAATCTCCCTGCTAGCTGACACAAGCACACTACTGCTCCAAACTTTTTATAGTGGTAAACCTACATGCAGAGGTTTGCTGGGGGGATGGGAGCACCAGCCAAAAACTTAGTCTGGAGCCTTTCCCTTCTTCCTGTCCCAAAAAGATGAAAGGGTTAGTCTGTGTTATTGTGCTGTTGTATCTCTGTTCATGCTAAACCTTCATGGTCTAATCTTAGAGCCAATGTCCAATTAGTTTTCTATGGCCATCCTCTGCACCAGTCTGATAATTGGCCTACGTGTTAGAGACCTTCCATTAGTCTTACGTTGTATAGAATACTGCAGTGCTCCAAACTGTTACCTATTGTCGAAGTCAAGTATCCTTCTGCTCTGGTTTTAGAAGACATCTCACATGTTAGGCATAGGGTATTTACCCTGGGTGTTAGTAGACTGTCTTCCACAGAGACAAAGTTCTCAACAACAAGTAAATACTGATGGACAGGCATCTTTTTCCTCACTTCCTTCCCCTCACCAACACTTCACTCATTATGTCCTTGTTTCATCTCGTCCTCCTACATTGTACATGTAACTGTTCGCTCTGCATTCAATTAACCTGGATTTCTTTTGTCCCGTGCCTATTGTACATTTATGTGCACGTGGCAGACCTCAACTGTACACTTAAGCCCAGTCTTTCTCCTGTGTTTTTCACGACATTTGTTCGTGTCCTATGTCCTGTTACGTGGGATACTGGATTTGAATAGAGCAATTACCACATAAATGACAATAGCCTTTTATTTCAGTTTGAATGAAAAGGATACTTTGGAACCCTCTTGAAACTTGTAATTTACTAGAAAAATATAAAACAGTTGACCTAGATGTAAAGATTTAGAAACTTTTTAGTGGAATGTCTGTATCAATGTCCGCTTAGCGCCCATTTTCTGCACAGGCTTGAAATCGCTACTGAATTAATAAAGTTTTTGAGACTTTAAGATTTGTGTAAGTGTTGTGCATGCATGACTGGTCACAGGGAAACTTAACTACCCCCGTATGAAAGATTGTATCAAACAGTCATATCGGGTAAATTACAAGAAAAAAGCTGAAAAGATTGTTGGCACACTACAATCCTAACTAAACCAAGGCTAACCCCTACACATGTATTACCTATTTGTGCAGAGTTTGTCTCAGTGGCAAAAGAAGTGTACAAGTTGGAGCTTGAGGAGAAGGGCATCAGCCTGGGGTCCATGCTGTACGCAGGACCTGATCTCAGCAGCTTTGTGGAACCACCTGTTTACAGACTACCGGTAGGTCTTACACAGCAGCAGGCAATGTCAATCAGCTGCAAATGTGATTTCAGGGTGGCAAAACAAAAAAAATGTTGTGGGTTAGGAAATCTGTCTGATTTACTGCCATTTTTTGGAACGTTTTCATCATCATTTCCTACTTGAAGTATTTGAAATAACCAAAAAAACAAGCTACATGAGGAGTCTCTTTATTTTTGTCTCTTTATTTTTGGGTACCGCCCATAAAGCTAGAACCAGCCTACAATACAAAACAGTCAGCCTTTTTCCATGAGTGACATTGCATTTTCACCTCAGATATCAATATGCTATGCGATACGGTTGATTCAACTTACTGCATTAAAACAATGACCAGAAAATTGACTTTGAAAATTCAGTTTTGCCACCCTGAAATTGGTGTAGCAAGACTACTTGGGGTCAATAGTATGTATCATTTTGTATGAATGACATAATATATACGTATGCATTCAGTTTTTGTGTGTGTGTGTGGTTGACATTTTACTTGCTTCACATTTCTACAGACAGTGGAGTCAAGACCCAACATTAGCCAACCTGAACTGGACAGAATAAGACAAGAAAGAGACAATGCTCTGAAAGAAGTGCAAAGACTAAAGGCAAGGAACGAACTCTTCCTGTATTACTGTTGAGTTTGTCAAAGATTTAGGGTATGATGCCTGCTAAAAATCTTTTATATGACTTTTTTTTAACTTTGTCTATCAGATGAAAAGAGCATGTTTGTAACTTTTTAGCCACTAGATCTTAGATACAGTTTCTTGAATGTTCTCATAAATCTAGACAAGTCTATCCTTATATCTGACATGCTCAAATTACTGAGTAAATGCTCAGTGACAACCTATACCACCGGCGCTAAATGCTTCAGTTTCCTGATTTTGCTTCCAGGACTTGTTACAAGACAAGGAGAGGGCGTGTAGTAGAGCAGAGGAAGAACTTCTCAGAGTAAGAAGGGTGAGTGCAGAGGGAAGATCACTGGATTTCTCATATCTGGTTACAAACACTGTGGGCATAATGCCAGTGTGGGTGATCTAGACTTTGATCACCTTATTTAGAAAAAGTTTTATGAAGATTTTAAATCAGTCCTCTAGCCAGGATTCTTTCAGCCACACAAAATTTTCCTATTCATGACAGAAAATAATTGGTGCGAGAAAATACTAGTATGGAAAGAGATGTAATTAAACTAAGCATATTGTACCAGCAAAATGTTACCCTCAAAATGCAGGAAATGGCATTTCACGGGTCAACATTACAAATTTTTTTAAACCATTGCATTAATCATTTTTGGAAAAATTTTTTACATTTTATTTGCATGTTAAACAAAACATACAAGGCATAAACTGTGATCACCTGTCATTGCAGACATGATTCTAACTTATTAATGACCCTACTTTGAATGATTTATGTTATCTTAAACAAGCATCGAAATTCAGCCTTGTACATCATGGCTGCCAGTCATGCTGTTGATGATGCAAATAAACCAACAAACAAACAAACCTGCCTCCCCCTCCACAGGAGGCCCAAGGTGCAATCCACGAGAGCCGGTCCCTCAGGTTGAAGGTGCACCTGGCGGAGGAGGCCCACCGTGCGGCGCGCAGTATGGAGCAGGACTACGAGGAAGTCATCAGACTCCTGGAGCAGGAGATAGCCGACCTCAAGCTGCAGCAGGCCGCCCCAAAGGTAAGGAACTTCAGTGATGCTTAGGATATTAACAGGGTTTTTCTAAACCAGGGAATAAGGGCACTGCTCCCTCAGGTAACCAGCCAGCTCCCTCATATCAGTTTTCAGATTGTGGCTACACAACATGAAGTCTTCCTCAAAATGATCTTTTTCCAGTCAAAATGTCATAAGAATGCATTCTAGCATTACAAACTGAGTTACTCTTAAAATTTTGCTCCCTCTCTTGCCATGCTCTTGAGTAGTGACTGATCCCTCATGCTAAGTTTTTCTAGAAAAAACCCTGAGAGCTTCTTTCTACACAACCTGTATAGACTCTCACCTGCTTATGTTCCCATAAGTCTCTACCAGTCTGAGACTAACTATGCTGGCTACATGTATATATATATAGGAGAATATTTGCCGCCTTGGGGTTTGACTGGCCACTTCCGAGGTAAAGGACCAACCTTCTGCGGACTGACTACCCTAGCCAATTTTTCTCTCCTTTTCGCCAAATTCTATAATCCATATTCTGTAGAAAGGCCTGGTGGAGGCTATGTTGCCATGACGCCTTCCATAGGAGGAGTCTATACCGGTTGTGCAAAAAGAAATCCTGATATCATATTATGCTTTACCAACCAGATGAAACTGTTTTTCTAAGGATCAATGATGCTTGCTGAACCTCACTGGCCTGAGTGAGAAAAGTGGAGTGCTGTCACTTTGAGAAGAAAAATGTCAAGTTTTCTAGTATGTTCAGATCCAAGAGTGTTAGCATGGAAAACAAGTCACAGCCTTAAATTTTTCTCACTGTGAAATTCCCAAACTCATGCATTATCCTCTCTACATGCTTTTTGGTACCAACTTTGAATCGGTTACAAGGTTACGCCCCTGTCACTATGACCTTCCAACAAGTCCAACCTTTCCTAAGGCGATTGGCTTGCTTTGGCTCAAGTCATCTACTGGTAATCATGAAAGACCTAAAACTGGTCAGACTGCTCCCAACCTATATACATCCCAACACGTCCTTCACGTGTCTGTTGAGTTCCCACGGTTGTCAGCAGTTTGAAGGCAGTGAAGCAAATGCCTTTAGGCAACAGGTTGAAGGTTATAACCTTTAGGCAGCACTAATTGTTTTCTATAGGTGCACCCAAATATTTTAGCAGACTTATGTAACACTATGTAAAGTCATTAAATGTATGCTGGTATACAGCATATCCTTGACATGTAGGTGTCAGAAAAATAATAAAATCTTTGCCCATGTGCATAAGTCTAAATTTTCTGAAGAAAACATGTTGCTTGGACTTTAACAGTCCCTGAAATGTAACTTTTCCACCCTTTTCAGTCGGCAGAAAATTCAGAAGAAATGAAGAAGCGGATAACAGTGCTTGACTGTCAACTGAAGAAGTCCGACAGCGGGAAGAAGACATACGAAGTCGCCACGGAAAAACTTCTCAAGTTTGCGGAGGTAAGACTTACCCAACAGTCAACATGCATATTGGAGTAGTTATAATTGGACATATGATTGATCATGCCAACTTGGATATTAATTGAATACAAACTGGTCTCATACAAAATTAATGAAAATTTGTGTTGTGTGATCCTATTACGTTTGTACAAAACATATTGCTAAAAAATAATGTCAATATGTTGAATAGCAATAAAAACATTTTCACCTACTGAATTAGCTTCATATTAAGGGAAAATGTAGGCGTCTACATACTCATTGGGCTACAACCTGACTGAAAAGGAAAAAGGCTTTATGTCACCCAGACCTTGACTTTACCTTTGAAAAGCAGTCTAGACTGGAGACCTTCTAGGGCAGCTTGTCAGAAAGCTTGGTGCTTATTCTGACGGCTTTTGTAAGTAGCGCCCCGGTAAAAACATGGTCGCCACGACCTGTTCTTACTTCCAGCTCGTGCACGAAGTCTTAACGGACCAATCACAGGGAGCCGCCCTGGGGAGAAGTCGACGGGGCGAGAGCGCAGTCGGAACGCGACCTCCCGGCTATCTCGCCAGGCACGGGAAGGGAACGACAAACGCTAACCTGGCCGCCGAAGCCAAGGACGTGGTGAAAGCAGTGAAGTCTATCGTCGAAGTAGAACGTGAGTTAGAACCTCATTTTGTGCTACCTGAATTTAATACATTTCTGCTTCATTGTGGTGTAGAGTTGTTAACCCTACATAGTACATGGTACTATGTCACAACTTCTTTTACAAACTAGTACATCCAGCTGACTCAAGCAGTTACTGTTCCATGATGAAGCCCACAGTGTACATGTATGTTTGTCATATCTACTGGTTTCATGTTTATTTTTGTCAAAATCTTGCTGTGTAACAATCTTTTTTGTTAGACAAATTTCATTTCTGGCCATCCAATGTTCCTTTCTGGTATAGGGTCAGCCATATCAGGTACGAGTTGCACTCTGTGACATCCCATTTTGTAGCACTGAGCTTCTTCTCATCATTCAAGTACATGCTTGTGCCATGTGAACCTTCCAATGTGCATATTAACCATCACCCTATTCACATCAAACCAACTTGTACTTAAACATGACCCAACCTTCCAAGCAATTAGGATCAACGTGCATCGAAGCTGACTGAACCAAATGTCCGTTATATAAAGTACACGTCAGTTATATAAACTGCCCCTACCAAAAATTTTTCTTGTGACGAGCCAATCTGACATATCGCTTTAATGGATTATCTTTTGATGTTTTTCTTCCAAATCATCGCACATCCTCCCAGGCATCTTGGCTAAAATGACATTAAAGAGAAAATTTGAGAGGTCAGCCTCCGGCTTGGTTACCATGGTAACATAACTTCAGAGAGGCCGGATCTTGTTTTTCACACCATATTTGTACATGTAGATGTTTTAGCAACCTTTTCATGTTAATACCACCTTTAGGTAGAAATGCCACGTGTATAACATGTGCACTTTGGCTACCGGGAGTCCTAAGTCGGCAAATCCAGGGAAAACAGGTCGTGTTCTGCCTAATGGGTCGCCAGCGTCGTGCAGTTAAAGCTGTGGGGACAGTCTCAAACGTTCTCGCGACATTCATAATCAATGTTAGTTTGTGTGTCTTGAATTTTGTTGCAAATTCGTTTTTTTTCTGTGAAGTCAGGAAAACTTTGAATTATAGTATTTCTCATTCAGAATTATACAAGAACTGTAACATGTCACTTCTGCAGAAGAATACAAATGTAAAAAAAATTGATTTTGAAAGAAAATTCAACTTCTGTCATCCTCTGAAGAATCCACTAACTTAAAGGTCACTGAGGGAGTTGTATGCACATAGGCACTTAATGCATTAATGTCAGGGTAGGGTGGGTGATCCCACCTCTGCTTTATGCAAAACTAGTAATGTGATGCCGTTTGTACAAGACCTGTGGACATTTCACCCCACAGTTTTGGCTTTCTTAAGTACCCCTAGCCTTGCAGGATTATTCTGTCATAAATTGCTGGTTGACTTTACCTCCTACTGACTTCCACTTTGGTAGCAGACACTACTGAGAAATCGGCAAACAATCAGAAGAAAGAGCTTTGAACACTGATATATCACATGCAGGCAAAATGTTGTGTGAGTTTTAAAAAAAAATGACATTAAACAGGTTTTATTCCTGATCGTCGATGAAGGTTAGACATCCAGGTAATACGATACGCCAAAAAGCAGTTACTCAAGCAACTGGATATGATTTTTAAAACGTCAGACGTTTCAGCTAGTATCCACTAGCTTTCGTCAGTGACTGTTTATTCCTGATCGTTAATGTACATTTGATCCAACATCAGAAAACTACCATTTGTTTTGCTGTACCAATTTTTGCTCTTATTTACACTCACCGTAGGATCATCATGCGATCACAAACTGAAGACATTCTTGAAACAGCTGTTTTGTTATGGAAAGGCTGTCTCAGTGGTTGGTGTTGGTTCTGTCTTAGCCTGCTTGAAAATTTTGTGACACAAAAATCGCATGACCATCTATGACAAATGGTCATCAAAATTGTACAGCTATCTACAATGCACAACGAATGGAAACGAAACCGTCTGAAGACTTATGGCGAAGGTGACTCGGCAGTAAGATGGCTGACTTGGTGACTTTGGCCATGTGACCTCCCCGGATTGGGGGCAGCACGGAACATGTGACTCCAGGTTCTCGTGCCCTGTGTCGGAGGTCACATGTCGGAAGCAGTTGTGTCACTAAAACCCTAAGTTACATCCTTACCTTACAGCCTGTTTTAAAATGATGACCCCAATAGTTCTGATGTGTGACCTACATGTACAAAGACCAGGGAAGCCAGCATGTGACTCCAGGCCCTCGTGCCCCCCATCTCCATCAAGTCATGTGTCAGACAGTAGTACAGTTACTGTAGTTAAGTCAGTAATCTGTACATGTGATGTTGCTAACTTCCAGCACCACTTTATGACCTTTTTTGGATGTTTGACCCATATGGTTGGAGCACGTGTGACCTCACCACCACCCTTGTCACCGGCATGTGACACCAGCGCCCTTCCTGGTCGGGTTACCTGTGGGAAGAAATCCTGAAGAAAGTATCGCTAATTTGGCTGGGATGACAGGCTCAGTCGCTTTGACATGCAACCTTACTAAGACCTGGGGCTACAGGCACCTGTTGCCAAGTACTAATCACACCAGCTATCCTGAACAAAACTGCCGGGCTGGCCCAAATTCACAGTCTTCTTGTATTGGATTATTAGTCCAGTGAATATCAGCTTGCTTTTGGTGCCAGTTTTACTCCTTTTGACACATGTAAAAAAAAATAGGCATCTGTAGCTAGCATTCACCATGTTTTTAACAGCTCGAGTTGCCAACCAAAGTATCAGTATTATAATCCCTTCACATGGGAGGCCAGGGGCATAACCAAATATGGGCATGAATATCTGATCCCCAAAAGAATGACTAAGATCTAACCTTTCCTCACAAAAAGGTTTGCTGCCCAAATGAATGATACAAAGCATACAGTTTATCTTTGCATGGAGAAATATCATGCACTGCAAAAATTTGAATTTTTTGCGAAGTAGCCATGTCAAATATTAGATTAACTACATGTACATGTACCTACCTGTATCAGCAATACATTTACAGTTGTACTTGTTGATATCATTGTACGTGTTGAAAACATTGTACCAAGTATTGTATGTTCTTTCACCAGAATGTATTGTTTGTGTGTGTGCGTCTTCACTGTCACCATCAACATTGTCCTAACTTGTGTAGTGTACTGACATTGCATGTTTGTTTGTGTGTTCCCATCAGCATTACCCTATGGCTGGGAGGAAGCCTACACAGAGGACGGAGCTAAGTATTACATAAAGTAAGAGCATGGCTTTTTGATAACCCTCGCTTCACCATCATTACTAAAGATTTCACACTTTTTGTGTAAAATAAACTTGTCAGAGATCATGAAGGTGAGTATGCCTTTTGGCTTTAGTTGTCAGTCTCACTGATGCTGTGCCCCCCTCCCTCCTGAAAAATATCCCAGAGTGCAATGCACATCAGTGCAGTCGGTATCCAAGCTAGCAGGAACAACTTTCCAGATTTTCAAAAAATCTTTGATGACACTCTTATGATATTAGCTTCTGTCTTCATCTGTTTATCCATAGAAAACACTGTCTGATGTCTTTTCTCTCTTACACAAGCAAAATCTTCATATCTTTAAAATTGAATTTAGCAAAATTTATCTGTTTAGCATTATGTGAAGAATCTAATTTTCTCTGGACATCTATATATGACAGATGTTTTGATTTATGTAACTTCTCTGCGTTTGTGTTTTTAATTACATTTGATATCATAGCAAGATCCTTTAGGCTAGAATTGATGATGGTGTTATATAAAAGCCCCATTTGTAATGTTGATTTGTGATGATCCGAAAATTCTTTCCCCTCGCGATAAAGTTATTAAACTTAAGCACAGTTTGCTTTCACATAAAATACAGATTGATATTGATGGCTATTGAATTCATTTTAAATCCATGATCAACTTGTTTTGTTTCTTAACACCAGTAGGCATTTTAAAAAAAAGGGGTTACATAAAGGAAGCAAACTGTCAGCTATTAAAGGTTTTTTTTTACTTTCACGTGATCGTTATTTAACTGAATTACTTGATGTCACGACACTTGTCTTAAGGTCAAAATGGACCAGATGTTATATAAATAATGTTATGTCATACCTGGACCATGATAACCCTGACACAGGTGTTCTAGACCAGTTTGCACTTTACTGTTCAGCCTGGGATTTCCAATGAACAACTTACGCAGAACATTGTAATAGTGTTGCTACAACATACATGTAACGTTACATGTATGATGGTAGAACTTGGCAGAAGCTGACTTGGATTGCTTCTCCTTGCTCACTGTCCCCACAACTCATCAGTAGTACTCTACAACTGCAGGGACAAGGATGATTGAGTGCAAATTAAGAGGAAGGAACGAAGGAATTCGTTGGAGAGCACTCTTAGACTAGTGGTCCATTAACTGATATGCTATGTACCTACTTATACCTTCTGTGCACTGCAGCTCTTGTCATACATTAGATCAAGATTTTTATGCTAATGGTTGTTGGAATCGATTATTAATGTTCACACTATTTGAGAACCCCTTTTTTCTAAACTTTTGGTCTGTTGAAATTTGCATTCTTCATGACGCAGAATATTACAGGGTGGATCATGCATCACCCTTGGTCCTTCTCTAATTTACATGTTACACAAATGCTAGAAACCTGTAAAAGGGGGACCAGTTTGCCATGGATGCATACTATGCATTGATGTTACGAAGTTGCTCTTGCAGTAATAACTTACACACTCAGGTAGTCTCTACCAGGCTTTGGGAGGAAGCTGGAAAGAGTAGAAATTGGCCAAATAGAGAGATAACATGCCAGAGGAGTTGGTCTGCTAGAGGGTACAGTTTGGGTGCTGCAAACTGTACTCTCTAGCAGATAACCAATAGCTGTATTCTCTAATAATAACAAATGTCAATTAGTTTTGCAGACTTGGCAGTTTAAGCAGTCTGACGAATATTCAGTAATCAAATTATCACATAATTACATTGTATACTAACTGCACAAGTCTCTAAGAGCAGAGGACTTAAAAGGATGGGCGTAATGATAGATTTAGGCAGCAGGTAAAGACTAATTACATATAATGACAGTGGAGTAATGGAAAGCATAAGTGGCATCCAAGTCACATAGAATTCTTGAGGTACAAAAATGAATGCTGATGTTTGGAAAACCTTGTTACGTCTTGATGTTATGTATCATGTAGACTGAGTCTCAATTCTAAAATTAGAAAATGAGGCAAAGAATATTTAGCAAATTCCCTTGAAGAGCATACTAACTGGAAGCGAGTATCTATGTAAGATAAAAGCAACTCTTGACAAGTGTCAGGCAGCTATCACTACATGTAGGTCTTTGAATATTAGTTAAGGAGATTAGGACACTTCATTATTAAGTCTCATATTCATAAATGTCTTCCTTTTTTGTTCTGTATAACAAATGTACATAGATCCATGGGTCATTGTGCACTTTGGTGTATTTTCTAATAAATTTCATAAAGTTAGAGAACTACCCTAAACCTACTTTTAAACGTTTATCACTTTGCCCACTGTTTCAGAATGTATAAAGTATTTTGCCTGGGGCTGGTCTTGAATTGGTACATTGTATATAATTATCAGTCAGTGGCATGTAAGAAACACAATGATCCTCTTGCAACATATACACAATAGAGAAGCCATTATCTTTGGCATTTAAGTAAGGAAAGTTCAAAGGTATCAAGTTTGGGGATGTACATGTAAGGTGTTGAGATGATGTTTTTCTTATTCCTTCACAGCCATGTGACTCAGACGACATCTTGGATACATCCTGTTTCTGGTGTACAGCATATGCCGGGGATACAGGAAGGACTGGAGTTACCGGAGACCGACACGTAACGCACTCAGCAGCCATAGGTACATTGACCTCACACACGTACACCACTAATTGATGACTGCATCAGAACGTAAAAAACCTGTGCGGGAGGTGGATGTGTTATATTTAGAAGATTGCATGTACATGTATGTTTTTTTTATATCAGATGTGTTTCCAAATTACCACTCCCCTCTCCTTATAGTATTTTTTCTTGCTCACACAGTTTTAACATTTAGTAAATATGAGGTTCATAAGGGAACCAATGTACAGACTGTAAATCTATAATCTGAACCAGCAAATGTGATAGAATATTTAACTAGCAGTTGTCGTCACATAAATCATTCAATGAGATGACTTTGACAACTGCCTGGTAGTAAATGGCAATGATTTTTAGGTCACTTTGGGGCAAGTTAACATTAGATTCAACTAAGGAATGGTTTTTCAGAAAGATATCTTCAAAGACTCTCCAAATACAGCCACATCTCATAAATTTCGAGTACACAAGGGTTGAACGGCCTTCTTTCACAATACTAGTAGTTTCATTTTTGTGCGTGTCGTTTATTTTCATATCTAATGTAAGTCAAGTGAAAGAAAAAAATACCTTTCTAGAAAATTATAACAGAGTTGCATACATTTGACATTTTTCAATAAGAGTTATATGCTCTCATTCCATTTATACAAATGTCATACATATTATATTATATTTTACTTGCCTCGGATAATCAATTAAGATAGTTCATAGTTTCAACCTATTTTTATAAATATAATTTCCAGCAATTTATTGAATGGAAAGGCAATAAGGTCCAATTATCGTTGTCACTCCATGTCTAGAAATAGATAATCATATTTATACCTCACTTGTAAGACGTGAACGCTGTCTCAAGAATTCACGTACATGTGTACATGTCAAAGTTTTTTCAAAAATCAACATTGAACATTCCATACATCAGTTTAAGCCTTTTTAGACAGGTATAGTGCCAAGTAATCAACAAATTCTAACAACCTTCTCTATATAATAGTACTGCATACTTGTATAAGAGGTGACAGTTTATAAGCTACAGTACAAAGACAGTCTAGATGTAAGTAACAATCCATTCCAAGTTCTTTCCAAAATCATCAGACTGTGTAAAAGTGTAACAGTTGAAGTAGATTGATAACGATATTGGTAAAGATGCGATAATGTACATGTAGCTGATTCATAATCTACTGGCATCACATTCATATTACATGATTTGATAGTTATCTGGTAGCCTTTGTTCACAGATGTGGACGATGTCTTAAATGTGTTGATAACACAGACCTCTAAACTAAAGCTTAGTTATGTGAGCAATAAAAAGAGTGCAAATGTAAAAGGCAATTTTTCTTTTAGCTACATTAAAATTTTTCTGGGATATTTAGAATTTCAGAGCTGTGAATTCTATTTCAAAACCAAAAATATTGCTGTCTCTGCAAGCTTATTGAACAGGAAATATGCGGACTGGTAGCATCAAAAGCTTTATGCAGGGTTTGTAACTTTCCAAGAAATCTATGAATTATTCAAAGCTTCCGAGAACTCCTGTATATTCCAAGGCCAGCAGATTTGCATACAGTTCCTGGAATTTCAGTCCTGGCGTCAGATGTCATGTCGATATCTGTAGGAGGGATCTCTTGGCACATCAGCCGTGTGTGCATATACATGTTTGCAGCGGGAGGTTATCTCATGCGGAGGCACTAATCACACCAGAGCTATTCTTGTCCAAGTGTTGCTTGAAGCTGTCTCTTGAAGGAGACATCACCTCACGTTTGGAATGTGTCTTTATCGCGAGTACCCTACTTCAGTTCAAGGAAGGCTTAGCCATTTTTACTGTTCTGAGGTAACCGTTTGACCCAAATCTTAATACAAGTACATGTAGGTTACATTGGGTAAAAATTCAGCATACTATTTTTGAGGGGGGAGGAGGGCACTGTAATAAAATGTGAAAACTTGAACATGACACTGCATCAAAGTAAAGGCTTTCAAATGATCCAACCAATTTCTTTTAAACATGACATTAAGTGTGTGTGAAAACAACATAATCATGCTTTCCTTTGTGATGCCATCTTTGTTATGGGTCAGCTACTGTCTATTGACGTCTTTCAAACCAATAGGTCAGCCTTTGTGTGTGTGTGTGTACATATTATGTATATCGTATATTATGAATAAACATATCTACCCAACATTATATTGGTGTATTTCTATTGAATATGAATGAATATGTTTCAGTGAAGAAGTATTTTACTTGTAGATTTAAACATTTAACAAATACATTTCAAGGAAAGGACCAGTTACTGACAGTCAGTTATTATGACAATATTTTGCGAGCCCAGACATTGATGAAAATTAAAGCAGTGTTTCATGTAAGCTGTGTTAGCCCAATGCCTTTCATGACTTGACTGTCAACTAATATGCTATTTCGTTGCTTGTTTTTTTCATTATGTGCCCAGATTGCACATTACCAGTACTGTAGCTTATCTAAATTTGGTTCTCATTATTGTTGCCCTTTTTCCCATAGCATATAAAAAAAAAACAATGAAGCAAGGTAAAAAGACATACATAAGCCTGCTGGGTGTAGTTTACTCAACACTGATTTTTTTTTACAACAAAAGAGCGTAGGAGAAGAGAGATATTTTGATAGGCCGTTGAGCTCACCGTGTCACTGACCTGACAGTAAATATGTTCATCCTGTTAGAGCAGGAATCGGAATATGAATTGTTCTTCCGGCACGACTGCCTTCCTGTCAACACACGTGCTTGACAGAGCATCATGCAGAATTTCTTTTACTTGCACAGATTGCTCATTATCTCACTTCATTCTCATCCTTCATTTTTTCCCACAACAAGTGAGAAAAGATCAATGCATCAGTCAAAAGAATAGATAATGTACATAAATCTAGTGCACTGCGACAATTTTTTAAATTTTATTAAGAAAAGATCCAAAAAGACCAATTAACGATCAAGCTTGCGGTAGGTTTATTGACCTGGTACAAAATAGGTTCATCCTGCTAGAGCAGAAGTCTCCATCTGATTTGTTCACCTGGGACTAAGTGCCTTCCAGCCTAACACACCAGCTTGCAAGAGCATCATGCAGAAATCATTGATAACATCAGTGCAACTGGTTATCTGAAGATGAAAAGGCAGTCCACTGAGCAATAGTGCAAATTGAGACGCTCAGAAGGCATAGAACCTCTTCAGACTAGTGCACTATCCACATACCACTTACATGTGCAGGAAAGTGCTGGTAAAATTCTGCAGGTGTTCTTAGATATCTACCTGTACCTAAACCTGTACTGGCCCAATGATAAAGCCAGCCCATGACATCTAAAACTCCTTGAGGTGCCCAAATCCCATGTGCATGTTGTATGTATAAATTCTTCATAAAAACATCCTAAAATGCTTGAATACAACAGATAACATTTCAAAGAAGTACAATTATATTCAAAAGGTATGCAGAAAAGATTGGCCCTAACAATCTTTTTATGAAAGCAGTATGTGGAAATTTTACTGAGGGTGTAGAAAGTGTAATGTCTACTAACAGTAACTCCACCAGGTCACATGTCTGCCACCCTGGAAAAATGATTCCCGTGCAACATGCCCCTGTATAATGCACACCTGTATACCTGTGCATACAGTTGTACATGGGGGTAATGGGGTAATGCACCTGAGATCTCTCAAAAACAGAAAGTGGCAGATACATGTAACCTGGCAGATGGTAATGAGGTATAGGGCCCCATCCAGACTAGGGAATGTACCGTCCCCAGTCTATGAAATGTCAAGCAGTTTTGTTGGAGGGTTAATATGTGCATGTAATCTGAATTGACATGCCCAGCTTGAAGCCTCCACTAGTTACAAACATGTGGTTGTGCTCTCCTTGAACCAGTGTGAATCATGAGTACTAGTTAGGACGCCTGGAATCATTCGGCAAGGCACAGCATCCTAGGAAAATGCTAACAGGTCCCCAGGGTATAACTTCAGAGGACAGATCCTCATTAGTTTTCTGCAAGTCATCTCTCACTATCAAATCTGTTTTATCATATTTTTCTCAGACGTTGGTGACATGAAAAGAAGTTTAACTTAGGTTTTAATTACAACATGCCAGGTACTGGGCATAGCCTAAAGACCTACCCACACAAACTGTTTCACACACACACACACACACACCACAAACACACACACACACACACACACACACACACACACAATTCTTCTCAATTCATACCCGATAACAACAGATTATAAGATCATCATGTTGATGCTACTGTGATATATCTAACAGCTTGTGTACACTCTCTGCAATTGCTAGAGCCTTCTCTTATGCCTATGTATGAAAGGTAGGTATGGCAGACTATCAGTGATCACAATTGCTATCCTCCTACGCTCTGTGTGCAAATGTTGTCAGGGTTTGAAAGCATATTGAAAGAAGCCTTTTGAATGTTTTTCACCCATTCTCAGTGTGCTATGCTGTGACCTTAGAGACAGCCATGACATTGCAAAACAAGCCTCCAAATCTCTGCAGGAAGGTCTGAAAGTGCGTTTTTAAGTGGTTGCCATGGATACCATGACGTCAAGGCCTGTGTGATTGTACCAGTAAGGGGAAAATAAGGGTAGCACAAAACATTCTAGCTTCAGAAGGCATCTTTTGAATATATCTACTGAGCTGGAAAACAAGTTGTACAACACTACCCTTCTCAGAATGATTGTTTATAAGCTTAAAGTACATCAGGCCTGCTTTACCATATAATGTAAATCACTCAAGAAATCTCACAATGACTTGTCTGTTGTGTGGATCACTTACATCCACTGAATACAATGTACAGTATACACACTGGGAAAGAAAAGAAGTTTTGACACATTTCTAATTGGGTTGAACAAGAAAATTATAATAAGGAATCTGCATTGTACATTGTAAGTCATAACCTTTATATTACCATCCGTTCCATATGCCAACTAGAGTATTTCCTTCCATCTCATCAGAAGGTTTGTGCTGTTATCTTATTGGCTAACTTTAGCACTTGTTGAATTTCAAGCCTAGAATCCCTGTCAGCAATGATGAATTGCCATGGCTGTAAGCTGAAAACACATTGAGTATTCATTACACTACATTTATTACTTCCAGACAACATTAAATGTCTGAGTGCTCAGCTTGTTATTCGCTTCTTCAGTTACATGTACTGCAAAATATTGTACAAGCTGTTGCCTGGCATATTACTAGTGACAATGACACATGGGAAGGCCGATATCTTTTTGTTTCTATTTAGACATGCAAGAACCATTCCACTTCTTGTTAAAGGCAGTAGAAATGTTTTAAATGTTCATGTCAATCTAACTGCCTTTCTTACCAAGCCAGGTTTTATGAACATTTTACTGGTAGGAAGAGTGTACCGAGTGCATAATGGTGTTTTTACTGTCCTGACTTTTTTGTAAGCATTGTCAGTGACACGGGATGGTGTTTGACTTATAAACCTAAGCTAAATATCCATTTTGTGGACTGAATGTGACTTATAAGTCAAGTGATGATATTTTCTATCCAAAGCTCTGCCATCACAGTGATCTATCAACCATGGCAGGGTGACCCATTTTGTTGTTCAGCAGGGATCCAGACTGTTGCCAGGGCCCACACAGGCCAGCGGTTCAGCACCAAGGCTAACATGCCCTCAAGGAAATTTTGCCTCATACCACTTAGGAAGGCCCTTTTCCCATGGCCAGGGCTGGTAATTGTTTCAAACAGGCAGCAGGGATTGCTTAGGAGCTGGGAGCTTGTGGTGGTGAGGAAAGCCCGTTTCCAGCCTTGCATGGGAGAGACTGGGTGTCATTCTGTGAGAGGACATATGGAGAATAGACTATATAAGGTCATAGATATTAAAGATGCAATTTAACAAAGATCTTGTCACCACTGTTTTATTGGCTTGTCAGACAGTGCGTTATGGACTTACACTATATTAAAGTGTCTTTGCAAACAAACATCACTTCAACCCAGTTTGATTGAACCACAAAATTTTATTTCCAGTTCCTCTCCTTGCTGATTTGGTTCATTATAAGTTATTGATTCAGATTCTATTCAGATTCTTTATTAGATTCCTACAATTTTTGCATGCCACCTGTGGCTCAGAAGCAACATATAAACTGGCTCATTCACTGACACTTGTGTTTCTTTGTACATGCTAATTCAGTGACAAACAGTCCTTTGTATGTGCAGTGAGAGACAGCTCCCTATGACAAAGGAGAAGGCATACTGTAATTCACGATTTTTTCGCAATACTTTAAATTTACGTTTGTGGTTTGTACTGTCTCTTCTGTACCGCAAACATCATGCCCGTGAACAAGTAATTCGCCAATATTCTTTTTTTTTTTGCACCTGTTGCCGCTGCGAAAATAAAGTACCACGAATATGTCATTTTTCTCAGACTGCAAATTTTTTCTACTGCAAACATAAAGTGAATCACAATACCAGGCAGGTCACCCTGATTTTTTTTGTTCCCCCCCTCCCCCCTCCCCTGTGTATGCTTTTGGGGACAAGTTGGATATTGTCATCAGTTGGCTTGATTGTAAAGGGGCCCTGGGCAGCTGCAGTGTCTGGAGGGAGCCAGACTGTTCCATCTCTCCCTCAGGGTAAGACGTGGCATGTTACACCCATGACTGCGCTGCAAAAGGTCATGCTTCTTTTGAATCACCGCACTGAAGAATCGTTATAGAGCATTACACAATGCCACACCCTCTCCACAGACTCAAAACAAGATAGAAACATAAAGAAAGGAGTGTTTAAAACTCCATCCTGACCAGTGCGTGTGCAACCACAATTAATGGGAGACTGATGAGGGGTTTTGGAACAAAATTTTCCCTCGTGCCCTCACCTCCTCTTTCTCTCCCCTCAGTTATGTCAGTTCTAGTGCTGTGTACCTGAACCCACATTCAGGTCCAGGTCCGGATTCAAGTCAAGAGGTTTATGTTCAGGTCCCAATGGAAAATGGGGCATCTCTACTGCAAAACTTTGTAGCAAGCACTGCATTACCAGGTTTCGAAGCAAATTTGATTATTTAACTCAAATAATAAAAAATTTGCACTACAAAATGATACTTTTTGCATATTTTTTTCTCAAAGGGATAATCGATTGTTTTAATGCAATTCAATTTTGTTACTGCAACTACGCTAATCAAACATAAATTATAATGGCAAGTTTCCATACCATTGGACATGTAGTGAAAACAAACAACAAATTAAGCCGGTAATTATGTAAGCCTCCTAAGATTTACTGTCAAGCGTAATAATTCATTCAACAGACACCTCCTCCCCTTTAGGGCCTTTTTAACCTTCTAAACTGGG